CAATGAACGGAGTAGCCCACAGGCCACAAGGTTGGCAGTTTCGAGACTATTTAGGGGCATGGTGTTCCCTTCCACTCTGCCTCTAGATAGTCTTCAAATAACCACCTTAATAGATTCAACAGTCATCAGAAGACTATCACAATGAACGGAGTAGCCCACAGGCTACAAGGTTGGAAGTTTCGAGACTATTTAGGGGCATGGTGTTCCCTTCCACTCTGCCTCTAGATAGTCTTCAAATAACCACCTTAACAGATTCAACAGTCATCAAAAGACTATCACAATGAACGGAGTAGCCCATAGGCCACAAGGTTGGAAGTTTCGAGACTATTTAGGGACATGGTGTTCCCTTACACTCTGCCTCTAGATAGTCTTCAAATAACCACCTTAACAGATTCAACAGTCATCAGAAGAATACAACAATGAACGGAGTAGCCCACAGGCCACAAGGTTCGAAAGTTTCGAGACTATTTAGGGGCATGGTGTTCCCTTCCACTCTGCCTCTAGATAGTCTTCAAATAACCACCTTAACAGATTCAACAGTCATCAGAAGAATACAACAATGAACGGAGTAGCCCACAGGCCACAAGGTTGGAAGTTTCGAGACTATTTAGGGGCATGGTGTTCCCTTCCACTCTGCCTCTAGATAGTCTTCAAATAACCACCTTAACAGATTCAACAGTCATCAGAAGAATACAACAATGAACGGAGTAGCCCACAGGCCACAAGGTTGGAAGTTTCGAGACTATTTAGGGGCATGGTGTTCCCTTCCACTCTGCCTCTAGATAGTCTTCAAATAACCACCTTAACAGATTCAACAGTCATCAGAAGAATACAACAATGAACGGAGTAGCCCACAGGCCACAAGGTTGGCAGTTTCGAGACTATTTAGGGGCATGGTGTTCCCTTCCACTCTGCCTCTAGATAGTCTTCAAATAACCACCTTAACAGATTCAACAGTCATCAGAAGACTATCACAATGAACGGAGTAGCCCACAGGCTACAAGGTTGGAAGTTTCGAGACTATTTAGGGGCATGGTGTTCCCTTCCACTCTGCCTCTAGATAGTCTTCAAATAACCACCTTAACAGATTCAACAGTCATCAAAAGACTATCACAATGAACGGAGTAGCCCATAGGCCACAAGGTTGGAAGTTTCGAGACTATTTAGGGACATGGTGTTCCCTTCCACTCTGCCTCTAGATAGTCTTCAAATAACCACCTTAACAGATTCAACAGTCATCAGAAGAATACAACAATGAACGGAGTAGCCCACAGGCCACAAGGTTGGAAGTTTCGAGACTATTTAGGGGCATGGTGTTCCCTTCCACTCTGCCTCTAGATAGTCTTCAAATAACCACCTTAACAGATTCAACAGTCATCAGAAGAATACAACAATGAACGGAGTAGCCCACAGGCCACAAGGTTGGAAGTTTCGAGACTATTTAGGGGCATGGTGTTCCCTTCCACTCTGCCTCTAGATAGTCTTCAAATAACCACCTTAACAGATTCAACAGTCATCAGAAGAATACAACAATGAAAGGAGTAGCCCACAGGCCACAAGGTTGGAAGTTTCGAGACTATTTAGGGGCATGGTGTTCCCTTCCACTCTGCCTCTAGATAGTCTTCAAATAACCACCTTAACAGATTCAACAGTCATCAGAAGAATACAACAATGAACGGAGTAGCCCACAGGCCACAAGGTTGGAAGTTTCGAGACTTTTTAGGGGCATGGTGTTCCCTTCCACTCTGCCTCTAGATAGTCTTCAAATAACCACCTTAACAGATTCAACAGTCATCAGAAGAATACAACAATGAACGGAGTAGCCCACAGGCCACAAGGTTGGAAGTTTCGAGACTATTTAGGGGCATGGTGTTCCCTTCCACTCTGCCTCTAGATAGTCTTCAAATAACCACCTTAACAGATTCAACAGTCATCAGAAGAATACAACAATGAACGGAGTAGCCCACAGGCCACAAGGTTGGCAGTTTCGAGACTATTTAGGGGCATGGTGTTCCCTTCCACTCTGCCTCTAGATAGTCTTCAAATAACCACCTTAACAGATTCAACAGTCATCAGAAGACTATCACAATGAACGGAGTAGCCCACAGGCTACAAGGTTGGAAGTTTCGAGACTATTTAGGGGCATGGTGTTCCCTTCCACTCTGCCTCTAGATAGTCTTCAAATAACCACCTTAACAGATTCAACAGTCATCAAAAGACTATCACAATGAACGGAGTAGCCCATAGGCCACAAGGTTGGAAGTTTCGAGACTATTTAGGGACATGGTGTTCCCTTCCACTCTGCCTCTAGATAGTCTTCAAATAACCACCTTAACAGATTCAACAGTCATCAGAAGAATACAACAATGAACGGAGTAGCCCACAGGCCACAAGGTTGGAAGTTTCGAGACTATTTAGGGGCATGGTGTTCCCTTCCACTCTGCCTCTAGATAGTCTTCAAATAACCACCTTAACAGATTCAACAGTCATCAAAAGACTATCACAATGAACGGAGTAGCCCATAGGCCACAAGGTTGGCAGTTTCGAGACTATTTAGGGGCATGGTGTTCCCTTCCACTCTGCCTCTAGATAGTCTTCAAATAACCACCTTAACAGATTCAACAGTCATCAGAAGACTATCACAATGAACGGAGTAGCCCACAGGCTACAAGGTTGGAAGTTTCGAGACTATTTAGGGGCATGGTGTTCCCTTCCACTCTGCCTCTAGATAGTCTTCAAATAACCACCTTAACAGATTCAACAGTCATCAAAAGACTATCACAATGAACGGAGTAGCCCATAGGCCACAAGGTTGGAAGTTTCGAGACTATTTAGGGACATGGTGTTCCCTTCCACTCTGCCTCTAGATAGTCTTCAAATAACCACCTTAACAGATTCAACAGTCATCAGAAGAATACAACAATGAACGGAGTAGCCCACAGGCCACAAGGTTGGAAGTTTCGAGACTATTTAGGGGCATGGTGTTCCCTTCCACTCTGCCTCTAGATAGTCTTCAAATAACCACCTTAACAGATTCAACAGTCATCAGAAGAATACAACAATGAACGGAGTAGCCCACAGGCCACAAGGTTGGAAGTTTCGAGACTATTTAGGGGCATGGTGTTCCCTTCCACTCTGCCTCTAGATAGTCTTCAAATAACCACCTTAACAGATTCAACAGTCATCAGAAGAATACAACAATGAAAGGAGTAGCCCACAGGCCACAAGGTTGGAAGTTTCGAGACTATTTAGGGGCATGGTGTTCCCTTCCACTCTGCCTCTAGATAGTCTTCAAATAACCACCTTAACAGATTCAACAGTCATCAGAAGAATACAACAATGAACGGAGTAGCCCACAGGCCACAAGGTTGGAAGTTTCGAGACTATTTAGGGGCATGGTGTTCCCTTCCACTCTGCCTCTAGATAGTCTTCAAATAACCACCTTAACAGATTCAACAGTCATCAAAAGACTATCAGAATGAACGGAGTAGCCCATAGGCCACAAGGTTGGAAGTTTCGAGACTATTTAGGGGCATGGTCTTCCCTTCCACTCTGCCTCTAGATAGTCTTCAAATAACCACCTGAACAGATTCAACAGTCATCAGAAGAATACAACAATGAAAGGAGTAGCCCACAGGCCACAAGGTTGGAAGTTCCGAGACTATTTAGGGGCATGGTGTTCCCTTTCACTCTGCCTCTAGATAGTCTTCAAATAACCACCTTAACAGATTCAACAGTCATCAGAAGAATACCACAATGGACGGAGTAGCCCACAAGGTTGGAAGTTTCGAGACTATTTAGGGGCATGGTGTTCCCTTCCACTCTGCCTCTAGATAGTCTTCAAATAACCACCTTAACAGATTCAACAGTCATCAGAAGAATACAACAATGAACGGAGTAGCCCATAGGCCACAAGGTTGGAAGTTTCGAGACTATTTAGGGGCATGGTGTTCCCTTCCACTCTGCCTCTAGATAGTCTTCAAATAACCACCTTAACAGATTCAACAGTCATCAAAAGACTATCACAATGAACGGAGTAGCCCATAGGCCACAAGGTTGGAAGTTTCGAGACTATTTAGGGGCATGGTCTTCCCTTCCACTCTGCCTCTAGATAGTCTTCAAATAACCACCTTAACAGATTCAACAGTCATCAAAAGACTATCACAATGAACGGAGTAGCCCATAGGCCACAAGGTTGGAAGTTTCGAGACTATTTAGGGACATGGTGTTCCCTTACACTCTGCCTCTAGATAGTCTTCAAATAACCACCTTAACAGATTCAACAGTCATCAGAAGAATACAACAATGAACGGAGTAGCCCACAGGCCACAAGGTTGGAAGTTTCGAGACTTTTTAGGGGCATGGTGTTCCCTTCCACTCTGCCTCTAGATAGTCTTCAAATAACCACCTTAACAGATTCAACAGTCATCAGAAGAATACAACAATGAACGGAGTAGCCCACAGGCCACAAGGTTGGAAGTTTCGAGACTATTTAGGGGCATGGTGTTCCCTTCCACTCTGCCTCTAGATAGTCTTCAAATAACCACCTTAACAGATTCAACAGTCATCAGAAGACTATCACAATGAACGGAGTAGCCCACAGGCCACAAGGTTGGAAGTTTCGAGACTTTTTAGGGGCATGGTGTTCCCTTCCACTCTGCCTCTAGATAGTCTTCAAATAACCACCTTAACAGATTCAACAGTCATCAGAAGAATACAACAATGAACGGAGTAGCCCACAGGCCACAAGGTTGGAAGTTTCGAGACTATTTAGGGGCATGGTGTTCCCTTCCACTCTGCCTCTAGATAGTCTTCAAATAACCACCTTAACAGATTCAACAGTCATCAGACGAATACAACAATGAACGGAGTAGCCCACAGGCCACAAGGTTGGCAGTTTCGAGACTATTTAGGGGCATGGTGTTCCCTTCCACTCTGCCTCTAGATAGTCTTCAAATAACCACCTTAACAGATTCAACAGTCATCAGAAGAATACCACAATGGACGGAGTAGCCCACAAGGTTGGAAGTTTCGAGACTATTTAGGGGCATGGTGTTCCCATCCACTCTGCCTCTAGATAGTCTTCAAATAACCACCTTAACAGATTCAACAGTCATCAGAAGAATACAACAATGAACGGAGTAGCCCACAGGCCACAAGGTTGGAAGTTTCGAGACTATTTAGGGTCATGGTGTTCCCTTCCACTCTGCCTCTAGATAGTCTTCAAATAACAACCTTAACAGATTCAACAGTCATCAGAAGAATACAACAATGAACGGAGTAGCCCACAGGCCACAAGGTTGGAAGTTTCGAGACTATTTAGGGTCATGGTGTTCCCTTCCACTCTGCCTCTAGATAGTCTTCAAATAACCACCTTAACAGAGTCAACAGTCATCAGAAGAATACCACAATGGACGGAGTGGCCCACAGGCCACAAAGTTCGAAGTTTCGAGACTATTTAGGGGCATGGTGTTCCCTTTCACTCTGCCTCTAGATAGTCTTCAAATAACCACCTTAACAGATTCAACAGTCATCAGAAGAATACAACAATGAACGGAGTAGCCCACAGGCCACAAGGTTGGAAGTTTCGAGACTATTTAGGGGCATGGTGTTCCCTTCCACTCTGCCTCTAGATAGTCTTCAAATAACCACCTTAACAGATTCAACAGTCATCAGAAGAATACAACAATGAACGGAGTAGCCCACAGGCCACAAGGTTGGAAGTTTCGAGACTATTTAGGGTCATGGTGTTCCCTTCCACTCTGCCTCTAGATAGTCTTCAAATAACAACCTTAACAGATTCAACATTCATCAGAAGAATACCACAATGGACGGAGTGGCCCACAGGCCACAAGGTTGGAAGTTTCGAGACTATTTAGGGGCATGGTGTTTCCTTTCACTCTGCCTCTAGATAGTCTTCAAATAACCACCTTAACAGATTCAACAGTCATCAGAAGAATACCACAATGGACGGAGTAGCCCACAGGCCACAAGGTTGGAAGTTTCGAGACTATTTAGGGGCATGGTGTTCCCTTCCACTCTGCCTCTAGATAGTCTTCAAATAACCACCTTAACATGTTCAACATTGATGAACGTAGTACGATAATTAAGGAAAGAAATAATAAGGTTACCTTCTTATGAGAAAGAGTTAGAATTGATTTTTTGTAGGTCAACTACACGTTAAATATAATGACAAAAGCTGTACTAAAACATCTTTGTATAACCCTTATAGTTTGTTGTTTTTTATATGTATTTGTTAAACAGATTGTGTCTTAAATATAATCTCTTTATTAATATGATCTTGAAAAATATGAACTTTCAAGCAAATTAACCGCCTTTATCGAAAATTCAGCTCAGTCTTATGCTTCCCCTTATAATTGCGTCCTATTTTGTTAGTTTTGTTAGTCCCCAATAATTCCGCCTCCATAATTATCATATACTATTGGTTTTTTGTGTTATAGTCAAATTATATGTTATATGTAGCAATCTGTCAGACACGACTTGACAATATAATTTATATTTAAAATAAACAAACACCTCGAAATGTATTCTACGCAATAAAACTCCAACCAACTATAATAACACATTAGTATATTCAAACTCATTTTACTGCAATCATAAGTTCCATTTAATTATTTTATTATTAACTATCAATACATATATCGTTTTATCTACAAGAATAAAGAGTATTTTTTAATGATAAACTTTCGCTTCTCCTGGCAATTTCCTAGCTTTAACGAGGGTCTGCCTTACATGTTGTGAATATTTTTGGCTACTTGTTTTTACGACCGGCCGACTGTCTGACATCAACCCTCTTTGGGAATGCATTAAATGATAAAATTTCGCTATTCACATAAAAATAAAAAAAGAATATTAAATTAATAAAGTTGAGTCGATTGAATTTATGGTAAAAGCGTATAAGCAAATTAATTTTTTTATTACTTTTAGCTATATCGTATTTTAATAAATTACTATCAATAAATGTATGAGTCTATAATATTCTCGTGATTTTTTTAATATTGCATAAAATGAAGTCTTTTATTTATTATTGTAATATAATGTTTCAAAACACTTTAACATGAATCTTTAATGCTTATAAAAATATCTGAATAATGTTCTAAGGCCAAAAAGATAAAACAGTTTTATTTTTACCATTTTTTGCTATAGTTTATATGTACTAAATACATTTTAAGTTGTATATTTCATTCAGTTTAACATAACTTTTAATCGTACTATACTTCTGTAATCTGTAAATTATTAAATGTAAGAAGTATACATTGTAATATTATATAATTATGAATTTAAAATTTTATTATAAGTATATTTTTTAATTATTTATCGATTTCTTAAAAGCTCCTAAACAAATTTGTACTTATATATATAACGAATTAATGTAAATAATACAAGTACATAGTTAAATAAACGCCTTATATTTTTTACCATTGCCGCAAAACAGCGCATCGCGTATTATTCAAATAATTACTTTTTTAAACAAGACTATGTTTTAAAGTATACTTTTATTTATTTTGTTGTAAAATTCCACGCACTGTTTGTATGATTCATCTCATAATTATTTATTATTATACATAATATATACATATGAATTAATTTAAAATGCTAAATAGATAACTTGATGTTATTAATCTGTATTTCTATGTATAACAAACAATGCTCGGTTACATTTTGTATCTGTGGCTTAATAATAGCATCCACAGATTAAAAATGAATTAAAATAAATAGTTCTCATAAAATATTATTAATATAGTTTTTGGTGTTAAAATATCAAAAAACAAAACTCACCAATAAATAATAGGTACATGAGGCAGATAGAAAAATTTCTTAAAACGAACATTTTATTTATAATTTCACATACGAGTCTTTTATTTGTAACAAATTTCTCTCTCATTATAAAGTCATAAATATTCACTTATTAGATCACATACTCTTAATATGAATAAATATTTTTTTAATTATTTATAATTATAACACGAAACACTTCATTCTTTAAGTGTTTTATTAAAACGTGCAACTTTATTTATTGTTATTTTAACTCGTAATGTTTATTTTATAAGCGTTTAATAACGCTTGCAACACGTCCGCTCGTTACAAGGCGATGAGCCAAACTGATTCTACACCAATTTTTTTCAGACGGAAACGCTTTGATCAACCATCTGTGCCTGATAGATTCTCTAATCGGCAATAAACTTTATTTAATCTACGTTAGAGTACTAAAACTTGCTGAAAACACTCATAGAAAAGTAGTAAATTATTTAAAAATATCACATTTCTTTGTTATATATTAATCAAATACTTATTGAGTTTATTTTCCGACTGACGAAATATTGTTATTTGATTGAAGAAAACAAAATATACATCCGAAATAAATATATGCAATTAAATCTGTATAAATTTTTAACATCTTCTTTATATAAAACCTATTTGGTACACATTTCACATTTATCGTAGTTAATCTGTTTTCTTATCACATAATTAATTTCGAAGATTTTTCTAAAGCAAACAGATTATATTATTATTGTACAATAATGTTTATAACATCTTTTTAATTGTTTTATATTTTTTTATACACTGACAAACAAGATTCAGTTTTGGGGGTATCAAGAATATCTTAATAAAAATAGAATTCAAGTCGAAAAGATAAACGTCGTAACTTAAAAATACTTTTTTTTATTTAAATTATATTACAATTTTTATTTGTTAATATTTTAAACAGCTGTTCGTTTTATGATTTTGGAGGGAAGAAATAAATGTCACAAACGAAACTAAAAAACTCGTTTTGTATTATAAAATTTTCTATAAATGAATATAACAATTTATAATATACTTTAAGTATTATTCACTTGACATTTTATCAGCGAAAACCTAGCTCGAGTATATACTGTGTAGATATAAAATGAGCAAGGCGAACTAAAAAAAATGTCCATAAAATACACAAAGAATATTTCACAAATAGTAACAAAGAATAAAACGTATTATTGTAATATTTACGACTAGATTACTTTAATTCTGATAGCATTAAGATAAGATTACTTCATCCTCGTAAAGCGTGTTAAATTATACACAAGTATAACATTATATATGAATTCACTCTTTTAATAAAGGATAATAAAAATAAAACTAATTTATTCCGATTTATTACGAGTTTTTTTTTTAACTACATACTCTCGACGTTTCGGTTATATTGCAGCAAACGTGATCATAAAGACGAGATGTGAATTCTCAAAGGATGCGTAATTAATATAATTAAGAACGCGTAGTAAATATAAAAATATTAGTTTTATTTCAGTGTATATTAGCAAAAGTCTTAGATATCACAAGGATAATAAATAATCATTTGTGATGTTTTGTCATGTCCTGTTAGTAAGTATAAGTAGTAGTAGTAGTAGTAGTTAGCTGTAGTGGTTTATTTTGATTTTTGTTTGATATTCTTTCTTCTTCATTTGTATTTTTTAAGTAATAGTTTTGTTATTGAGATTTTGTTATTGAGTTTATATAGTTTTGTTATTTCTTTTGCTAACTTGTTTTTTTATAATATTTTTGTAAGCTAGACAGTAATTTTTAGCAGTGCTGTGTACATCCATAATTGGTTCATACATCAGTTAGTGTTTAGTTTTAAATGTTTAGTTTTAAGTGCTTAATGTATGTACTGTCGATGTGCCGTTCAAATAATAAAAAAGAAATTTGGTATAACACCGGTACATGAGATAAAATTTGGTTTGTCGTTAGAACAAAAATTCTTTGTATAACTAACCATCGTCACACTACATACAGATGGTTTCTTTTGTTCTTCCTGGCAATTTCCCAGCTTTAGCCAGGGTCTGTCTTACATGTTGTGAATAGTTTTGGCTAATTGTTTTAACGACCGGCCGCCTGCCTGACATCAACCCTCTTTGGGAATGCATTAATCAGTGATCTATAAATACTCTTAGAAATTACATATGACTTGGAAAAATCACATTGGTACTTGCCAGGATCGAACCCGCGACCTCGTGTGTGAGAGGCGGACCTTTTAACCACTAGGCCAGCACTGACTGACTGACATACAGACTGTTTCACGTTTCTTATTTAACAACATACGTTAACACTACATATAATGTTCGAATATTTATGAATGAAATACTATTAATGCTCTGTATTTAACGATGGATTCTCGTACTAGGCATTCAGGTTTACTTATATGAGAATAGCTTGTGGTTAGTTTACGGTGTTCGTTTTTAATCAGAAATTTTTATGATTCCAGGTCAACAGAAGTTCACTTATGGGTTCCGATTTCGCGACAGTTAAAATAAGTGTTGAAGATGGAGTATATATGGATTTCCTTTATTTAACTGATGTAAAACTGAAAGTGTAAGGATTCTTTCCGTTTAAGATACGGAGCTTAAGAGTAATTTCTGAAATGTAATTGTGGGTTGAATTTAAAGTATGTTGTCCTTTTTTAATGTGTCTTGTCGTATAATAATATAAGGTTATAAATATTTCAAATTAGATTTTTTTATAAGTATTTTTTTGTATCGATTAAATTCATATTTTAAACAAACCAAATTTAGAAATTAAGAAAATATGTTTCTTTTTTATATTTACGATAAGGGAACTTTACTTGAACAATTAACATCTGAGGTAAATCACAATCAACATTCAAAGAGTTTTTATTTATCTATAATAAAAAGGAGTTCACAAAAAGGAGTTCCTACATGACTTTGTTAAATAGAATACGAAAAAAATCTAAATTTAATGTTTATAATCTGTCAACGAGATATTAATCAAATAATATCTAATTATTATTAATCATAATAATATAAAAGCTGACCGTCTCTCAATGATTCAATGTTCTTTGACCTCGATGACAAATTGAAGACCTTAATAGTCGTTATCAATCTCACTGGCTGTAATCGTAAAAGTAATCATTTGATGTCCTCACTAAAGTATTTTTGCTGCAAATTGCTTCGTCATAACCAATGTTGTATAGTAGATTTGTGTAACAAGTAAACGGTCCTTTGGTTTGCTTTTCATGAAATCTTTCCGCGTATATATTTATTTATTTATTTACATAAAGGTATATATTGTAATGTTTCTTACTACATACTTCTACCTGGAATTTTCCCAGTTTTAGCCAGGGTCTGCCTTACATGTTGTGAATAGTTTTGGCTAATTGTTTTTTTACGACCGGCCAACTGCCTGACATCAAACCTTTTTGAGAATGCTTTAATCTGTAATGTCTAAATACTCTTAGAAAGTACATATGATTCGGAAAAATCACATTGGTACTTGCCAGGGCCTAATCGAACCCGCGCCCTCGTGCATGAGAGGCGGGCCTTTTAACCACTAAGCCACCACTGACAGCGTGATACTACATACGTGGAGTTAAAAGTTTTTCATTCATAACTTTTCGCACGTATTAAGGATGAACGTAAATTGTTGAACGGGAAATTGGAATATCTTTGTTTATTAGGCGATGAAGCCGACTTATACTAAGTGAATAGAATACCATCATAGGCGATGGAAGTGTTGGGAGTAAATTTTGGTTTATAGTTGTAAAATATTTGTCTAAAGTAACAAACATAATATGTAGATTAAATTTCAATAAAGTAATTTAAGGAGATTAATTTGTATGTAGTGTAATTAGTCATTGGTATAAACAAATCTAAGATAGTTGGGTTGAAAATAGACAACTAAGTACGATATGTTTTAGTAATGAGCTCTGAAAATATCTATTGAATACTAGGCACGATAATATTTGCTGTAATTTTATATTTATATTTAAAAAATTTGACAAATGCATAAATATTTATGTAGTACAAACGAAATAATCACGAGCGTTTGAATAAGTTTTCATTCCAAAATAAAAGTAAATTAATTATTAACGATACTTTTAGTGGCACTGAAAATGACAATAAAACATTTGATTCAAGTACTGTTTAGTTTAGTATATTGATAGACTATGTTCCTAGTTTGTAACAACTAACAAATTATTATTCTCGATGCTTAAACGAAATAAATAAACTTTATTTTAAAAATATGTAGCAAGTTAAGTCGTAAATATTTAACGTAGAAACTAGTATACTAAAATGACGTAGAAAAATATCCAAAGTTAATATTTAACTTCTTTTTGTTTAGTTTGACACAAAAAAAACTTTGTCGATGTGTTTCTACTCAGTCGTAATTTTTTTTAATAAGAAATATATATTAATTTACCAATTATGATATAAGATTTTTTGGCTCAGTATTTTTATTGATTTATGTTTCAGTATTTATTTATGTTTTGCTTATAGTTATTTAATAGCGTTAGTTATTTTATTTAGCATATTACAAGGCACCATTATGTTTAATGCTTGTAGCCTACTCTTGTAATTTCAGCTTTTCACATATAAATCGAGATGTACCTACGAGTTTTAAGTGCTTTCCACAAACAGTCGTAATTGAAAATCAATGTACGAGTACGCACAATCTGTGACAAAGATTAATTACTATGAAGCGACTGTTTGTCATTTAGTGAAAAAAAAATGGCGAAAAATGACGCGTTTGTCTATGGAATTTTCGTTAATATTACGTTATTTTTATAATTTAAAATTGTTTATTTATTTTAAGATGAAATAAAATAGAATAAATCAGATTGTTTTCTTGTATATTATGTTTTATTTTCTCAATCCGGATTACAATGTCACGTAATAACAAATAATTAATCATTAAATTGGTATGCACCATACTTTAAACTTTGAATATCTTAAATGTGATACATATGTCTCTATTCAAGCATGTAGTGGGCGTCTAAAGACAGAGTCACGTTCGACGACGTGCTAAACACATTATTTACAGTCCTTCGAAGTGGTTAAACATTTTACATGTCATTTTAAAAATTTACCTCATATATGTTATCTGTTATTAATATGGGAATCAGTGGCTAGAATCGATAATTTCGACAAAAATAAACTATATAAAGTCCCTATATTATGAAATACAACAGAGGAGACTATCTTATTTGTAGTAAAAAAGAAAATATATCTTCCTGCTTAATGAAATCCTATTTAAGATTATTTTATTTATATAAATCTGATTGGTATATTTCCACCTAATAGTGGATATAAAATACTGTATACACCTACTAAATGATTTTGATTACCTTACATATATTTTCTAACGAGGGCTAAAAGTTGTAAGTAACTGCGTTAATGTAGTCTCTTCGCCAAAACTAATCACCTCCTGAGGTACTAACAATAATATAGTAGGTAGTACTGTAGTAGTACAAGCATTTAATAGCAGTATAATACTTAAATTGTTCGATTCCAATGACTATCAACGTGTTTTGAATTTTTCTTGAATTATTTAAAAAAGTAGATAAATAATCAATGACTTTTCAATCAAGCAAAACAAGACTATTACATAAAGTCGTAATAAAATTCTCTTAAACAATTTCTGGGCTACTTATTTTAGGACTAAGAAAGATGTAATCGTTTTAAAATGTTTGAATTGTGTTCCATTATATAGGGTAATTCCGATATTTATTGATCATCCGCTCACAAGTGTAGATCATGCTTACATAGCAACATAAAATATGATTTATGTTAAAAATAAGACCACTAACATAACAGGGGAAAAAATAGAATGTAATAAATTCCTTCACTCCGGATGCCGCTCTCGAGGGGAGTTTGGTTTATATTTCATATAAACGACTCGATGTTTATTGAATGGTCAATGTGGAAAATATATTAATTAAAAATTAAATAACTTATAAAAGTACTCAAATATTATACATTTAACTGTCATACTCGTTAAACGTCAATGTTTAGGTACTTTCTTTTGTAAAGATTTTGACGTTTATACAGGGTGACTGGTGAATTACTATCAATATTTAAGGAGCATACTCAGTACATGATTCTCATTCGAATTATGTAAAAAAAATAGGTACTTAATTTTTGACCAAATTTCCGTATAAATAAATAAAGTGTGTACACGTTCCAAGTGTTCCAAGTGTGGACGCGTGCGGCGGCGTGCTGATACAACACTACGTGTGTGTGTGTGTGTGTGTATACCTAATCTGTAGGGTGTTCACACGATGCGTAATTAATTACATAACTTTTGGTTAACTTTACTTAGAAGTTTATTAATATTTATGTTATATTATTTTTTATTTTGTCATATAATATGATCGTCAAATATCACGTCCTCAAATATCGATAGTAATTCACCAGTCACCCTGTAATATTTGAATGTATTTTAAAGACAGGTACATACAAGTGATATTTAATTATTAATATGATAGAAGGTAACTATCATAACAATGGAGACGATCGAAGAAATAATAATAATAGAAACAATAGAAATATCAAAGCAGCTATAGAAGGATGTCATGTACTCGTATGTAGTGTAATGCGGTCCGGAATTTATAAAATAAAACACTTGTGAATACTGAGAATTAAAAATAATACTATTAAAAATAAAGTACTCCATTTTTGGCCATTGTTTGTGTTCGTCAAAATTATAATGGCTTCTTAAACAGTAATAAACATTACATCGCTGTCGTAAATAGACAATAAAAAATGTTATTGCTCGTTAAAAGGTGTCCCTAAAGAGTTAATAACTGAAAGATTGTAAAAATATTCATTACTGACAGACACTGCGATGTATTGTAAAGTTGATCATAAATATTATGATACTTTTTTACATTAGAGACGACAATAACCTCACGGAATTAGGGCTAAACATTAATCGTAGGATGATAATTGATAGCACTTTAAAAGAAAAATATATAAGTCTGTTGAAAGCGCCATCTCGGAATAGATAATTGAATGAGCCATTGATGCTGCGAAGACAGCGCCATCTATTGTTAAACAAAAAAAAAAATGTTGTTAGTAATATATTTCAATTATAAAATATTGAAAAGTTAACTCTTGTTATTACCATTAAGTTTAAATTAATTTTATTTAAGAACTATCAATAATGTTACTATAAATGCAACGAACAATATGTCATTTTGTAAAAATTTTGTCTATGCCTTCCTCTATTATTTTGCGCCTGCGCACTTGACTGATGGTCTACGCGACGTACCTAAAATCATATTGTGGAAAATTTGAAGTTTGTTGTTTTAGTGACAACTTATCCATAATTATTTATGAAAGCTTCGCGCTAATTACCATTCCAGGCGCGAGACAGAATTATTCTGTGACGGTCAGCCTGGATGCGTTCAGTCACTAACAGTTCGAGCGGTGTACGGTAGCCATCTTGGATTCGAACAAAGCTTCAGATGTGTAGTTTGTCTGTTTATCAATAATTTTTGTGCATTTTACTGTAAATAGTTTGTATGTTTAGGATATGTACGGAACGTTCGTCCACATGTGTAAATAGCTATGGCTGCGACAAGAAAATTACAAGGTAATTCAAATTGTTATCAGGTTAGAGATTGATTGACCCCAACCTATGTAGATACGTGTTCTAGAGTTCTATTGTCCGTCCGTAGGGACCTCGGCTTTGTAGACCTTACTAAAGATAACCTTAGTTCGACAAAAACCTTTCGAAATACTTAAATACCTGACGGTATTTGTGTGATTTGACAGTGCGAACTCTCATTACGTGCTCTTAAACACAGCCTCCTCTCTCACCGCCTCGTTGACGTGATATTTGTATTTTAAACTCGTATATGTATGAAGTACGTGCTCAGAGAAATGTAAACAGTATACGGTGGCAGTAGCTACGAGTCTTATTGAGAAACAGGTTTTCTGTGTTCATTAGTGGTGACAATGTTGATTGCAGGTGAAATAGACAGGTGTTTAAAAAAGGTCACGGAAGGGGTGGAGACGTTTGAGGACATCTGGCAAAAGGTACACAATGCGACGAACAGTAATCAGAAAGAAAAGTATGAGGCGGATCTCAAAAAAGAGATTAAAAAGCTTCAGAGGCTACGAGATCAGATTAAGTCATGGATCGCCTCGGGCGAAATTAAGGATAAGAGTACACTTTTAGAATATAGGAAACTAATAGAAACGGTGAGTCCACTATCACAATACAACTTAGAATCAAACTGGAAATGTAAATATACAACTTATTCTCATTATTACCACTGCCAATAAGACAAATATGTTTATATTGATACAATTTTGTATGAACTGTCTCTAAAATGGACAAACAAGTTTGAAGTTTGTATTTAAATGGATCATAATAGGATTTTCTAATACCGCAGTATCTGTTTGACACAATAACAAGTGATTGAAATTCATTTACCGAATACATTTTACAAAGACTATGAAGTGACCAATTTTGGATTTGTTTTCAGTTTTAATAATAATCATATTTATTTATATTGTAAAAGTTGTTCAACCTTTGATAAGTGAAGACATTGAAAATAATTTTATTTCTTTGCATTGCAAATTGCCGTTTTATTAATAATTATAATAATCAGAGTGTTCTTAGATTTATGAACGCTTATTATTCTTATTGGGTTATAGAACAAATTTTGTACAAATTCATATAAAGTAGTTATTTTTAACAGTAATTATAAATTTTTAAGGAAGCTCTTAGGATCTAAAAAATGTTACACGAGGTTTTCTAATTATTGTTATTTTTTATTACAAGTTTATGTTTTATGTAAATTAAATTATATGTATATTTCTTATTAAGTTAGAGATATTGTTAAATAAATTTGTAGAAATCATATAAAAAGTCATGTAGGCATCTTTGGTATAAGCCAATAATATATAATTATATTTAAAACCTATATTTTATAAAAATCAAATTGTTTCTATACTTAAAGTGTGATTTGTACTCACCTGTGACATTGTTTACAAAATATTATCTTGATGCTATGCCATGGTTACCGAGTACCTTACAAATTGATTATGCAGGTGGAATATTGCCAAACGATAAAAATAAACATATACAGGAATAAATATATTGCATATAACATAAAGAAGAGATAGTCCAATTGGTTGAGGGCAGAATAACTTGAATATTAAAAATATAAGTTATTTAGATATACATGAAGTTGTTAAAATAATTTCTAATAAAATTTTCAATTTTTTCAGCAAATGGAAAGGTTCAAAGTTGTGGAACGGGAAACAAAAACGAAAGCATACTCTAAAGAAGGCCTCGGTGCAGCTCAAAAGTTGGACCCAGCGCAGAAGGAAAGAGAGGAAATGTCATCGTGGCTAATATCATCAATAGATGCACTCAATTTACAGGTGTGAAATGTTATCCAGTGTATATAGAAACATATATATTATATTTGAAAGGAATTAATTAATAAACAGCACAGTTCAATAGTAAGCTTATCACAATGTCATTGCATATCAAAAAATATATTTATATGCATACATTTTGTGCATACTGAAATGTTGATAAAAAGATTAATTCTGAAACACAATGATCAAATCTGTATTCATATATCTAAAATGACTGTTAAAATGCAGTATAAGCTTTATGAAAATTATACTGCAATTCCAGATTGATCTTTTTGAGTCTGAAGTTGAGTCACTGTTAGTCGGTAAGAAGAAACGTCTGGACAAGGAGAAACAGGATCGTATGGAGGAACTCAAGCTCAAGTTGGAAAGGCACAGGTTCCACATAAAGAAACTAGAAACATTACTCCGAATGCTAGACAACATGTCCGTAGAAGTGGAACAGGTGAGGATATATCTCATATATTTAGGTATAAGTTACTTAGCCTTGTTTAAATTGACTTAAATTTCTTTTAATAGTATTTAATTGACCAATTTTCAAGTTCTGTACAAATACCCACAGTAAAAGATCTAAATATTTTTTTATATAATATAGTTTTTGATATAAAATGCAATATAATAAAATAATAATTAAATAATGTATGTATTTTGATACAAAGAAACATAATTTTAGATAGAGGCATGTTATACATAAGAACCAATCACAAAATGTTACTTCTATATAGCTTAAAATGTTACAAATTTGATGTTGCAGATAAAAAGAATAAGAGAAGATGTTGAGTACTACATAGTATCATCGTTAGAGCCAGGCTACGAAGAGAATGACTACATCTACGAGGACATTAACGGACTGGACGAGATCGAGCTCAGTGGAGTGGGGCTGCCCTCGTCAGCTACAACGGATAGCAATAATAGTAACGATTCACCGGGATCACCCACCAGTATACTGTCAGGTAATACTCAAATTAATACAATATATTAATATAAGGAATAAGTAATTGTACATATGTATAATATATACAGTAGAAACTCGATTAACCGGACTAATTGTTGTCGATAGGCATTCGGATAATCGAAAATGCGGATATTCGGATGTATGAAGAAAAGCTGGTTTTGTGCATATGTAGTATTTAGTTTATTTAAAAAAAGTAACAAATACATATCAACGAAAATCAATGTTTATTAATAAATAATTAAAGGATACATTTTCTTAGATTACATATACATACACACACATTTATGTAGTAAAAACTGCAGATTTTAATCATGAAATAAAATAATAAGTTTAATTTGATGTAAAATATTAACGTACGCCACTCTCAACAACACCACTCTCTTACGCTTTACAATTCTTTCTTGTCCGGACTTGTCCGTAGTCCAGATAATCGCGAATCCGTATAACTGAGGGCCGTATAATCGAGTTTCTACTATTTTTATTATATTATTTCATGATGGTATAATGTTGGTTTATCTCTTTATATCCATATTTTTATATACTAAGTAGTCATTGAATAAGTAAATAAACTAATACAAAATTATATGTGAGTGTCTACCTAGCTATCCGAATAATGTTTGAACAAAAATATAGTAAATAAAGCATATAAAGAGAAAAGCAACACAAAATGATTATATTCTCCATTTTAACATATTCTCTAGTATTTGTAATACATATAGCATTTAATAAGTAAAATACAATTTTCTGTTTCTTCAGGAACGAGTCCCGTGACATCACCTTCGTTAGACACACACAACCACACGACGGACTCCATAGACGTTGACAAAAAGAAAAAAGAAGATATTACAACTAAAGTAAGATTTAATACTAGTTACATACATACAACATAGTAAATATATATAAATATATATGTATGTCCTAAATGTGTATGGCAATAGGGGATTGATTGATCTTCAGTAATATTTACAAAGGATTGAAAGACACATAATACACTCAAAAAGCGCTTTCACAATCTGTACGTCGAATAACCGGTACTGGTATTGAGTTTATACTCAGCACTAGTTTACCGGTTATTGATTTGTAAAAATACAAAAAGGAGGTCCTATATTCAACTGTTATGTATCTTTCAAAGTCCGTTTGTATTGGCTCAAAAACTATATACATGTATTGTTTTTGTTTTACATATAGTATATTGTAATAAATACTAATATATACATATAATTGTCTGTGCGAATTATGTTTTTTTTTGTCTGTCACAAGTATAGATGTATACATCCGATGTCTGTTACAGCCTATCAAGCCGCTGCCGCTGCGTGCGGTGACGTGCGTTAGTCCGGCTAACGTTAGTTCCTTGCTCAATAACTCCGCCGCATCCAATAGGTTCGTTATCATATACTTACCATGTTATATGGATGCTGACGCGACATTTAATGATCTTATTTTCACATATTATTCGTGTTTCCAGCAGTATAAACAATTCTGTGACGTCAGTGACTTCGTTGTCGGGGTCGTCAACGCCCAGTAAGCCGGCGCCGCCGTCCCCGCACCCCACACAGACCCTGCCGCCAGCGCCGCACCCCCCACAGACCCTGCAGCCAGCGACGCACCCCGCGCCCCACACACCCGCCTACCCAGTAGCCAGGGTACCCGGTGAGGAAACACGAACTATATACTGTATATACATGAAAACGGAGACACAATACACTTACAAGCTATTAATAAAATGCATATAAGCAATCTAATATTAGTAATTAAGGAGAATACCGTATTATAATTATAATATAACTAATTCCGACATACATAACAAATATGAGATCTTCATAAAATTATGTAAAAATTCATATTTGTTAGGTATTATAATGAGTGTTATCCTTAGAAATTGGAATCAAACACGTAAAGTAAAATTTGGAAAAAAATCGTGTACAAAGAAGAACCTGCACACAAACTATTTAATATATTGAATATGATGTCTGTATGTGATTACTTATCTAAAATTATATGAAAACCTTTAATGATTTACAAAGTATAGACGACAGTTTTGTAGTAATTTTCCAATTTTTCTGATATTTCAAGTCAATATTTCTGTTTTAATTATTTTTATTAACTTTAATAGAACTGAAAGAGATACTAAACTATTTCAATCATACCTCAAATGATCTTAATATGCAATACACTTTGCCTTATAATAATCTCGATTAAACATTTCATAATCTTGTTTCTCCTTGCAGATCTGCTTGTATATAAATTTACTTAAAAAAATATGTTCATAACCAGTCTAACTGCTTTTTCTATCAGTGCTAGAGAAATGTTTGTTGAAAGATTGAGATCTTAAATTACAATTTATATTAAAATACATAATATAATAGGAAATAAAATATTCAATACCATCTCTATGAAAGATTATTGAGAATGGCTACATAGATAACGATTGTTTAGTACTTATTATTTTTGTAAGTTCTACAGATGTTTCCGTTTTGTAATTTAATATAATAGACTGGTAAATAAGTTTATTTAATGCTTGTTTAGTATGAAACAATATTAAATATCTGTTATCAAACAGTTGGTGATAATAGTACGTCGTTTTGTTTACACAACAAACAATGCTTATCAATGAGTGAATGGAACAATCGCGAGCCATTACGATTACCTTCCACTGGCGCGACGCCAGCTCTCATACAAATAAAATATTAAACATCCAAGCGATTTTAATCTCTAAGATTTCATACTTAGAAGTAAAATTTAAATACCTTTTCAATAGGTCTCGTATATATTGCAAAGGATATATTGGCATGAATCCAATACGATGATGACACAGCTTATTCGTTCAGTCGTCAAACCCTATCTGAAGCGATCTGAGCTTGATTGAATTAAAAAAAAAAGTAAAGAAATGATTTCCCGCGCAAATGTCGATTAAATATGGACGATGGTAAAACATTTGAAGTGCATGAATACATGTGATATTGTGAACTGCGCAGTTGTGAAGTTCAATGTCGATTATATAATGTTTTATTTTGTGTGTATATTAACATGAGTGCACATGGAGAATGTGAACGAATGTCGTAAGATATATTTAGACAAGTTTATTCATTGTCATGTGTCGTGGTGGTATACGTGAGCGGAAAATATTTTATGTAATTGTTAGTAGCGTTCAACGAAAAGAATTAACGTCGAAATTAAAATACTTCTATATAAAATTCTAGTTTAGTCGTATTCTTGATTAAAGCAAGCCTTTAACTCCGTTATTTGTATATTTTTACGAGTTACATACTTCTTACAATTTAGAAGCGAATTAATAATATAGCTTATCTTTTTATTTATCATAGACGATAGTTTTACTCGCATATTTTATTTAGATAAGTGTCGTGACAGATAATTTTAATATTCGCAAGGACACTTATATATCAGTTCCTGTAGATGTCATTGACCCCTCCGCCTGACTCATTTAACTGCACGTCTTCCACGTGGCGGTATTGTTTGTAAATAGACCGGTTTTGACTTGCCAATACAGTTTAGATAACTATGACGACCTCGCTTGATCTCTGACTGATTAGTTCATTTAGAATTAAAATTATTAGGTACATTATTATTATTCGTACATTTTTTCTATATAAAAAAGTACTATATCTCTTATATACCATAACTTTCTTGAGTTAAGTGAAATCACTAAATAATACTCGTTTAAAATGATCTCCTGATGTCATGGCGTCAGTATTTCATAAATGTTTGAATAATTTGGCTACAGCCACCGCTAATATTTGGCTCGGTGTGATAATTAAACATATAAATAATATTACAACATTATAAACAGACGACAGTATAATTAAATTAAATTTTGATACATAAAAAATATAATAAACGTCGACCTTGCTCCAAGGTAATAAATATAATTCAGTGTCAATGTTACGAGTAGTGTGGACTCGATGAGTCAGACATACAGATATATGTATAGTAACGTCACGTGACGTCACTAGTATAGGACTGTTCCAGTTTTAATTTGATAATAATTAAAATTAGTAATTAATATGTGGATATAATAATTAAATATTTACGTTATACGGAGGTGATGAATATATCAATAAGATTAATGTTGGAACCGCAATTTTAGATTTTAATTTATCTCTATATTTATTTATTTTTTTGTTTATATATTTTTTGTAATACTTAGGACTTGTTTTGTTTCGTTTTGATATATTTTAATATCGATCATTTGTTTTAGAGGAAAGGAATGTTCATTAACACTTGTATCAATATTACCATATTTTAATCAATATTACATAATAAACCATAACCAACATTTACACATTATACAGCCGAACATAAAATTAATTATACATACATATTTAATATGAATATAAAAATAATATTATTGTATGTCAACAGAGGTATTGGAGAATGGTCCCGTGTCGAGCGCCGTATTGTCTCAGCTGCCGACGCACCCGGTGCTCGTACACTCTTCACACCCAGTGTCGCACCCCACGTCGCACCCTACATCGCACCCCGTGTCTCACCCTGTGTCGCACCCTGTGTCACACCCCGTGTCGCACCCTGCGCCGGCGCCAGCGCCTGTACCTGTAAGTACACACACACTACTATACAAATATTATAAGTTATTACAAATTCAAGTGCAATCCGGCCACTCAGAGAATGCGTTTCTGACACCTGTCAAATAGTTATAACTAGTACGTAGAGTTATGTTTAGTAACGTTATTTATTGCATTCATTATAAATATCTATTTAGTCACATTTTTCGGATTATACTACGCAACTTTATTTTTGATTAAAACTGCATACTCCCACCGTTTCGGCTACTTTACAGCAACTGTGGTCACAGGCAGACGAGTTGTGAGTGAATGACATTCACATCTCGAGAGTTAAATATTTTATAAAGTACATTTCAAAAACGATCATCAAACAAAAATATCGGTTGTTGTTCATTATATTAAGATCAAGTTTGTCGTGTTGATTTTTCACATCACTACAAAATAAAACTGTTGTTATTTTGTAGTGGTTAACTTAAGAAAGTTGTTTTTTAGTTGTAAGTAATTTTTAATATTTTTGGCTAAAAATTAATATGATTATTGAAAGCATAATCTTTTGTACTGTTTATATTGTCACCTGTTAAAGTAAATATAACTATTTTATTTGTCACCAGGACAAACTTGTTGCAAATGCATTGACAATTTGTTGGAAACACAATCTCATCTCAGCCGACTGTAATTTTATAGTTACTCGATAAAAATTCCCTATCCTTTTAGTGTAACATATATTAATTTGCACTAATCAGTATATGTTTTAACATGGCGGTAACTTAAATTAGATTATAGTCATAGACCTTTAATTATTTTAAATATCATATCAATATGAATTTTTAACCCCATAAAATCTTCTGATGTAGTAAGCTTCAATATGAATGTACATAGTCTTTATTTCTAAATTCCTTGTATCTACAACAGTTTTCATTCAATAATTTCCATAATAACTTAATCATAAATGAGTCGCTTAGAACTGTGAAAGACCTACTAAGAGTATGCCCTTTATTATGCTTTTGATCAACTTACATCACTTTTTAATGTTCCCAGTTTTTTTTATTTTTTATATTTTCAATAAATTTATCTTTAAATTATTGCTTAGTAGCCTTTGGTACATATTCTAGTTTGTATATGTGTGTGATTTAAAATATTTATTAATTTTTTTGTCATAATTCCCCAGTCAGTTTATTTTTTAGGTAAGAGGCTTTTTGAGTATGACAATTTTGTTATTTTGATGCAATTTAGTAGAAGTAGAAAAAAAACAGTCTTCATTTTATTATTTTTACAATTTTCTAATTCACTTTTCATTCATATCTTTGATTACATAAGAAAATATAAAAAAAAATCCTTTTAAAACCATCAAAATGACGATTTTCTATGTATATATTTTAACCTAAAATATATTTGATTACAAGCTGCCAAATTTTGAAGAAATAATTGGATTTGCTATGAAAGTAAGTAAACGGAATGAAGAATTAAGGAAATTAACTATTTATATAGAACATGTAAATATATTTATACAAGTATGTATGTATCACGAGCACTTGCGAATTTGTAGTTTTTATATATTAAACATGAATCCAACACGAGTCACATATTTATTTCTTCACAGTCCATTAAGACACTAGACTTGAATCGCTTATAAATATAAAAAAAATATTTAGGTTAGTGTGAAATTATACATCGATAATTTTAAATATTCAAATTTCCCGCGCTCCGTATACAGTGCCATATAATCTGTCCCCCGTACATATTAATTATCTGTGCACGTATCGAGCTTTCATATTTATTGTTTTCCTACCTGCTGTTGTTTATTATTTTCTGCGTAATAGTTTTTTATTATTGTTCAGATGTAACGTAAATAGTTTGAATCGTGTTTTATATCGAACTATGGGTTGTTTAACACAAGCCATCGTCAACTGTGATTCGTGCATCGATGTGAGTTGAAATATTTATTTGTTTGACATATGGATAGGATTTCATTGTATATTATATTAAATGAAGACGTGACGTTTTTATTGTTTGTTTTGAGGTATTATAAAAAGTTTTTAAGGAAACTTTATTGAGATTAGTTTTATATAGTCACGTATCGTATATATGTAGTGATAAAAGTCGCACTTAAGTTAAGTTTTATCATTAAACGTTTTATTTCAGTGCTCGTTAGTCACAGGATCGTAGCTAATACTTATGATAATGATTCGCAACACTCGAAATACCTTCAATAGTTTATAACTATTGGCGATTTAAAACAACGGAATAATATGCATCCAGTACTTACCTTCGACCATAATTATTTTTAATAACCGTTTATTTGCGTCTAGAAGGAGTTTAGTCGTGATAACATTAATTACGTACACTAGTTTAATGATTTTGACTGACAAATAGTTTGTACAATGTACATGTAGTTTGAAGAGACGAAACTTCTCAGCATTCCATGGATTCACCGTGCATGTGCCGGGTCCATCGTTGTAGTGAGAGGAGCTTCAACAGTGCCTGGGACTTGTGACCCAGGTGTAGGTTTAAGCGGCCCCTTATCTAATGCGCGTTATACGCTCATCTCCACTGTCCAAGCTCCTCTCCCTAATAATAATATTTTGTTTTCTAATACAACAGACGTCAAAGAGTTCATCTGTAACGACGTTGTCGTCGTCGACGGCGGTGGTCAACTCGTTGTCTCACAACGCGTCCGGAGCCCCTTCCCCCGCACCGCCGGCGCCCTCGGCCTCCGCCCCCGTCCCCGCGACTGCGCCCCCGCCGGCCGCCGCGCTCAACGGACCCACGCTGGCTGTTGCACAGGAACACACGCAGTATGTTAACAAGTGAGTTATAACTTATACACCACATATAAAAGCTATATTTATAACTCAATTTTACATTAATTTATGTGCAGTATATTGATTATTATCATATGAGAATACTTTTTTGTTTTAAGTGAAGTATTCGTAATTGATTAATTTTTATAGAAAAAGTTTTTATTATTCAAATAATTACGTCTTTAACTCACGAGCAATGTTGAGTAATTGAGTTCATACTTAACTACAATTCTAATATAGAATGAAAAAGTACATGCAACCGACGAAATTGAACTATCTCGTCCTGCGTCGAGTTTATGAAATATTCCATATACCACTTATCATATTAGTATATCATATACATTTAAGCATCTATTTTAACTCATATATAATGTATCCAGTGTGAGGGCGCTGTCTCCGCCAGCTGTGAGCGGCAACACGACCGTGAACAGCGCGGACAGCGGCGTCACGGGCACCGCCTCTCTCAAGAGCATGGCGCAGGAGGCCGTGCAGAGGGCGGGCCTCGACCACCACCACACGCAGGTACGGGGGGGGTGACATGTACATACATAGGTACACCACCACACGCAGGTACGGGGGGGGGGTGACATGTACATACATAGGTACACCACCACACGCAGGTACGGGGGGGGTGACATGTACACACATAGGTACATGTACACACATAGGTACACACCACCATACGCATATAGCCAGGGGGAGCATGTACATTCTCGTGCTGATAGTAAAAGTATTCAATGAAATAAAACTAATGTATTTAGAATTTACTATGGGCAGATGAAGTGGTCTCCAGTAATCACGGTTGCTGCAATGTAACGTAAGGAGTATGTTGTTGTTGTTATAAACGCGTAGTAAGTAGGAAAAATATTAGTTTTGTTTCAATATACAATATATTTTGTCGCTAACTTTGATATAAAGTTAGATCGAATATGAGATAATTTTAGAATAAACATGTGGGGCCGGGATCTATACAAATGATATGGATTTGTTTGGAATCATTACTTCTGGGATACTTTTCAATCGAATGTGTTCTTATGAAATTCTTATTAAACTAACTACTCAATAGTTTATAACAATAGTAACTGAACAAGAATACATAATCGTCTACTTGTATAGACAAGTTTTACTTTCCTTTATATTGGACTTATTGAAACATTTGGACTATTTCGTCTGACCATATTACTAATAATGTGATTTATATAGAAAATCTTAAATAATCTAACGTGTTTATATTTCCAGGCGACGGGTACAGTCGGCTCGCTGTCAAGCGGCGCGGGCGGCAGGCGAGGCACATCACTCTCACAGGCGCTAATACCACCCATACTGGGAGTGGCGCCGCTAGGACCACTGCCACTTAATAATGTAAATTATATTATATCTTTATCTTTATATACAGGGTGACTGGTGAATTACTATCAATATTTAAGGAGCATACTCGGTACATGATTCTCATTCGAATTATGTAAAAAAAATGGGTACTTAATTTTTGACCAAATTTCCGTATAAATAAATAAAGTGTGTACACGTTCCAAGTGTTCCAAGTGTGGACGCGTGCGGCGGCGTGCTGATACAACAACACGCCACCGCGCGCGAGTGTGTGTGTGTGAGTATACCTAATCTGTAGGGTGTTCACACGATGCGTAATTAGTTACATAACTTTTGGTTAACTTTACTTAGAAGTTTATTAATATTTATGTTATATTAATTTTTATTTCGTCATATATGATCGTCAAATATCACGTCCTCAAATATCGATAGTAATTCACCAGTCACCCTGTATATAATTCTTTTGTGAGTGTGTGTGTCACTGAACTTCTCTCAAACGATTTTGGTGATTTTTTTTTGTATGTGTTCAAGGGATCTGGGAATGGTTTAGATTCACAATTTTGTCCACTGGACAATGTATTTTTTAATTTATTAGTAATTGTTGATACAAACGTTGTTTTTTGACATTAAATTTGACATCTAACTAATATGTCAATCATTCTGTCGCACTTCAAAACACGGAGATTTATGGCTTTAATTGGTAAACTCCAAAAATATAACTAAAAAAACGTACAGATATTTCTTGACTATAGGGCGATACGAATTTCGCCGGGTCCTCTAGCATTATATATACAGGGTGACTGGTGAATTACTATCAATATTTAAGGAGAATACTCGGTACATGATTCTTATTTGAATTATGTAAAAAAAATAGGTACTTAATTTTTGACCAAATTTCCGTATAAATAAATAAAGTGTGGACACGTTCCAAGTGTTCAAAGTGTGGACGCGTGCGGCGGCGTGCTGATACAACGCCACGCCGCCGCACGCGTGTGTGTGTGTGTGTGTGTGTATACCTAATCTGTAGGGTGTTCACACGATGCGTAATTAATTACATAACTTTTGGTTAACTTTACTTAGAAGTTTTTTAATATTTATGTTATATTAATTTTTATTTTGTCATATATGATCGTCAAATATCACGTCCTTAAGTATCGATAGTAATTCACCAGTCACCCTGTATATTATGTTCATGCCTTTATGGTTGTATCTTCTCATATTCTTAAATGACTTACCATGTTCCTGTACAAAATGAAAATGTATGCTATTTTAACTCCATTGTGCCAATGCAACTTGTATGGAGATGTTTAAAAATGTTGTTCTTTAGGAGTAATCTTAGCTTAGTTTGTAGTCAATCATTAATATAATATTTATATATCGTTTGTTCGTTCCAGGACCACCAAGTACAGTTTCAGATGATGGAAGCTGCGTTCTACCACATGCCGCATCCGTCAGACTCGGAACGGACCCGGGTTTACTTGCCCAGGAATATATGTCAGACGCCCTTATATTACAACCAGGTTGGCATTGTACTGATTATCTTTGTTATTATAAATAGGTAGGTAGGTGGTAGAGCCTAGCTGTAGTCATGTTACTATAAATCGAACATGGGCTGGCTTGACCAGGAAAGTAGCTCCCTTTCACTGAAGATCGGTGTGAAGTAGCCTTTAATGGCTGTGTTTCGTCCGATGAGTGAGAAAGCCGGTTGCTCTTTTCCTAATCTCACCTTATCCTGTTATTTTCTTATCCTCATCCCTCCCTATTCATAAAAAAAATAATGTAGACAACGCATCCGTAACTGAGATGTTGCGGATAACTATGGGCGTTGGTGGCTACTGCCTATAGGCCGTCTGCTATATTGCCACTTTCACATAAATAATAATAATAATATCAAATATTTTGTCTATATTAATAAAATAATTATATCGTAGACATAACATTTGGCTCATACTATATAATAAATTTGCAGGTGTTACTACCGCACTCGGATTCAGTAGAGTTCTTCCAGCGGTTGTCTACGGAGACGCTGTTCTTCGTGTTCTACTACATGGAGGGGACTAAGGCTCAGTACCTGGCGGCCAAGGCGCTCAAGAAGCAGAGCTGGCGGTTCCACACCAAGTACATGATGTGGTTCCAGAGACACGAGGAACCTAAAGTTATCAATGAGGAATACGAACAGGTTAGAAGGGACTTGATTATGTGGTTAAAGGTTAGAGATATACAGGGTGACTGGTGAATTACTATCAATATTTAAGGAGAACACTCGGTACATGATTCTCATTCGAATTTTGTTAAAAAAATAGGTATGTACTTAATTTTTGACCAAATTTCCGTATAAATAAATAAAGTGTGGACACGTTCCAAGTGTTCCAAGTGTGGACGCGTGCGGCGGCGTGCTGATACAACACTACGCCTCCGCACGCGTGTATGTGTGTGTAAACCTAATCTGTAGGGTGTTCGCACGATGCGTAATTAATTACATAACTTTTGGTTAACTTTACTCAGAAGTTTATTAATATTTATGTTATATTAATTTTTATTTCGTCATATATGATCGTCAAATATCACGTCCTCAAGTATCGATAGTAATTCACCAGTCACCCTGTATATGACCAATGACTGACTTGACAAACATGAGTTTATCACTGGATAACTATAAGAGAATTTGTATTGACACTGTAAATCTTAGATTAATACATATCTATTTTTCATACCCCTAAGTCATAAGGGTTGTTCAACCTTAATTTTTTAAAATATCGGATGATTTTTTTTTGTTTTGATTTTTTTATAATGTAGCATTAAAAATAAATACAACCCAAAAAAATTTACTCACGATGTAATTAGCAGTAGCAAAGGAATAGAGTGTATACTATCAATATACAAAAGAAAATAATACAACAATTAACAATATAATTAAGCATAAGTCACTTTGACAATTTTAATCAATTCTTATAAAACTTATAAATAATGATAAAGGAAATGTTACACATAATGTTTAACTCCAGGGCACATACATTTACTTCGACTACGAGAAGTGGGGCCAGCGGAAAAAGGAAGGCTTCACGTTCGAGTACAAGTACTTAGAAGACCGCGACCTGAACTGAGCGCCCGCCCCGCGCCCCGCGCCCCGCCAGCCGCCGGCCCGGCAGGTCGCCGAACATTCTCCGTCATTCCGTTACCGAGTATTATATTTATGGACGGTTCATATAATCTCTGTGATGATTGGTGAACTGCGCCCGCTTTAATCGTGTAAGACTACTCAGCGACGGCCGCGGGCTCCTTTTGTATCATAATTTCACTCTTCTGGCAGAGGAATAACGAATTTGTTAGCGAAAGATATCATGTGATGCGATAAGTTTAGTGAACATTGTGATATCGATATAGGCACCCGCAGCGCGCTCGGCCGCCGCCGCCGCCGCCCGCCGCCCGCCGCCCGCGAGACACAGCGACAGGACATTGAATCATGTTTATATGGAATCTCAATTATAACATTTTGTTAACGGTCATGGGTATATCGAATGTGAACCTCGGCTAAGAATAATACATCGAATGTACAAATTGTAAGACATTATGTATGAACTCACCTCGCAGCCCGCACCCGTCGGGACGCGATGGTAGTAGATAGACTAAGAGTCCAATAAAATGATGCTAGTCATAGTATTGAACGGGGCGGGGCCGCGGGGCGAGGGGCGGGGTCGATGGCGCTGCGGGGGATTTGTTTTAAAGTTATGTAGCGACTGGAATTAGATTGGAATTATATTAAGAGCCGACCGGCGAGTACCGCCCGCGACCCGCGGTCTGCTGGACCTATTGTATGTAGATGTTACCCTTTGTCACTTCCCTGATATTTGAACTCGTTCCGAAGTATGGTATAACAGGTTACTGGAGGTTGTACGGCTATGTTCAAGTGCCTAAATGTCTTCCTAGAAGGAAACTGGATCGGTTCTCACCTCACCTGTCGCTCTGTACTACACGAGCCGCGGTACTCGCCCGCCGGCGCCGGCTATAGCTAGGATGATGTTACCGATATACTTTTTCACCTCTGACACTACCTTAGCATAAAAATTATTGTAAATCTATTATTTAGTGCATTTAAATTGAACAAAATTCGTAGAAGAACTATTCGAGCGTGTACATAATCACTGCCATGTGTATTTTATTTATAAATATAGTGTATCGGAAAAAGTAAATAGGATTGCTGGGATCGTACTTATTTATTTGTGATATTAACTTGTATAGAGCGAGGTGAAAGAGTATATGACTGCATGTCCACGGAATAGAGCTGCCAGACGGTGCGAGCCGCCGAGCCGATACAAGTGGAATATTGTTAATGTGAGAGCAGAGGGGGTGGTGGGGGCGGCGCGGCGTGTGCTCGGGCTCGAGCCGGCGCGGCGTGGCTCGAGCTCGAGCACACGCGGCGAGGCGCCGCCGGGGACGGGCGGTCGAGCGGTGAACGGCGAGAGCGCGCGATCTCCTTATTCCGTGCGTGGTGTTGATAGTTTTCATTTTTGTAAAAAGTCTATCGTGAGAGAACATGAAATGAGGTAAATAATAATTTAAAAAATATCTGTACAGTTCTATTTGTATAGAAATAATAAATAACGATTAAACATTAAAAAACATGTTGTGATTTCTTCTTAACGCTTAGTCTGTAAGTGCGTCGGTTTAGGGCGTCGCCTCGTTTTGGGGCGGGCGCGTTTTATCGCATTTCTTTTTATTTATTTTTTTATTTGAAAGAGATGACTGTTTACTTTGTAGAATAAATTGTAAGAAAGCATTGAAACATTTTGTTTGCTTGCTATTCACTGACATCCATCATTTACTAAGTCACCCTGAACATTACTTTAGAAAAAATAATGACGAAGTTAAACTGTTTTTGTAGCATTAGCCTGTTTGTAACTAGTTGAACTAGAGTATGTATCGTAGATTTTTCATGTTTTTTTAAATAGAACCAAACTACTACCTTCATTAATACAACTAACAAAAAGACATTTAGGAGCACCACTTTTATATGGCAACCAATGATAAGGATAGAAGTTAATTTTAATCACTCCATAAAGCAAATAATAGATAAATATCTCAGAGTGCCATGTCATTGAAAATTTGTTAATTGATCTCTGTTCTTTAATTTCTACAATTAGTTTATGATTTTAATTATATTTTATATATATTGAAAACTCATATAAATCATCTCAATAAAAACAAATATATTTTTCTATACTGTCATTTATAAATAACTAAATAGTTCCTACTATAACTTTTAATAGCAGAGACTGTCCAATACAAGTAATACCCCTAAGTTTCAAATGTATATAATCCCTACTAATATTATAAATGCGAAAGTAACTCTGTCTGTCTGTTACGCTTTCACGCCTAAACCATTGAACTGAACTGATTTTAATGAAATTTGGCACAGAGATAGAGTTGACCTTGAGAAAGAACAGGATAGTTTTTATCCTAGACTTTTGAAAGGTTCTCTTGGGAACGCGATATAGGCGAACTCCACGCGGGCTCCATATACATCAATGAAATAAAAGCCCATATTATTAATATATGTATATAATCATCGTTTCCTCTTCCCCCCATGTTTGTTCTTCCCCTTGATTCGTCTCCTGACTCCGGCCGCCTCCTCGGTATCATCGTCACTGTCAGCGCCGCGTTTCTTTCCTTTGGAGCCTTTCTTGTCTTCCAATTCTTTCATTTCCTACGAGATAAAGGTATAGTACATTATCCAAACAATAAACAAAATAACTTATAAAATCATCTATATACTTTGTAAAGTTCAAGCAAAACGAAGATTCGATGCATTTTAATCAATCTTAAACATCGTTACCAACCATATTTTAATTCAAAGTTCCTTAATTATATTTCTCAATATTAATACTAGTTTAATCTAAAATAAGTTGATAAACATCTCTGTTTCATTCAGTAAAGTTTAGTGAAAAGCCGTTCAATAATCTTAATCCGTTAAATTTTCATATTCATATCTGTATGAGCTACGCTCGACATAATTACTATATGTAAATGCACGCATCATAATTTTTGTTCTATTATAAAATCTCAATAACTTATGATTTAATTCAGTTCGAATTCAGTCACTGAGCATACCAGGCGTTCTCATCGATTAATCAATCTACAAAGTGCCCGTACAAGATCCAATGTATGTATGCCTTCTTCTTCTACCTGGCATTTTCCCAGCTTTAGCCAGGGTCTGCCTTACATGTTGTGAATAGTTTTGGCTAATTGTTTTGACGACCGGCCGCCTGCCTGACATCAACCCTCTTCTGGTGTGTATGTAATCAGTGATGTCTAAATATTGTTAGAAAGTACATGTGACTCGGAAAAATCACATTGGTACTTGCCAGGATCGAACCCGCACCCTCATGCATGAGAGGCGGGCCTTTTAACCACTAACCCACCACTGACTATCCAATATATGTATATGATTCTAATATAACTAACAATCTTAGTAAGTCTCTGCGCCTCAGCGACCCTCTCCTGCAGCACCATGACCTCGTTCTCGTCCGTCTTGTACAGCGGCAGTTGTTTGCCGATCAGCTGTTCTATACGCTGGTACAACTCCACGTCGTACTGAAAACATACGACTCATACATAAATTATTACGTAATAATAGTCACAGATAAAAAAAATGGACAAATTAATACAGTCAATTACGTAAATAGTAATATAAGTAGTGAAGATGTGTTTGAAGTTACAACAGGTTATAAACAATTCCTTTTTTTAATATTGGATAATGGATTTAATTTTGAACTCAAACAAGTCTTTTTAACAATTTTCCATATTCCACGACTCCACTAAACTCTTGTTTATGAACTATTTTCCATACAAAACGTTAAAACTTGCTGGAAACTTATCCAGAATGACTAAAACTATGTAAGTAAGTCACCTGTGAGACAAAAGTAATAGCTTTTCCAGCTCTCCCCGCACGCGCAGTTCTTCCAACACGATGTATATAATCCTTGGAGTGTAAAGGAATGTCCAAATTGATTACCACGTCCACATGAGGGATGTCAAGACCTCTGGAAGATATTAAACAGTTCAGTATTACCGCTATAATGAAAAAATCCATATCTATCTATCTTACACACACACACACACTAAAACACACACAAAATACACAAACAAATTCACAGACATATGTTTATGAACAGTATTTATACCTAACTTAAATTGTTTATCTCGTATAAAATAATTAGTATTTTGTATTGTATAAAGTATTTCACATTGAGACTGCTTTTCGATTTTATGTAATAATATTGAAATCCTATTTTAGTCATAATTTTTGCATTATATTGTAAAATTTTAAAACATACTGTAACACTGTTGGATTGCCAAATGAAACAATAAATAAATAAAATATACCTGGAAGCGACATCAGTACATATCAGTACTGAGCGAGCTTTACTTTTAAATTTATTAAGAGCGGCTAATCTCTTCTGTTGCGACATCTGTCCATGTAGCGGCACAGCTCCTACACCTAGCGCCCGCAACAACAGCGCCACACGCAGTGCGCCTGCGCATGTAGACACGAACACTATAAATGAGTTGCCCGCTAGCTCGTTGAGGATGTGAACCAGGTATACATCCTGAAATATAATATATAACAGTTACGTAAGTATACATACTCTAAAATGCTTGTGGAAAGTTGGTTAAAATGTACAATAATATTATGGGCAAAGGAATTGGAAAAAATTTAGTTAATACGTATTTTAATTTACTATTATTTAAAAATACTACATTCAATGTTAAGGGACAGTCACTCTGAAAAATAGATTTAACTCTTTTTGTCCAAAATAAAGATTTAATGTGAATTTGTTTTTCTAAAATAAGACTAAGTAAATTGAGAACAATTTCTATTCAAATTTAACTAACCTTAAATTTCACTGGTATGAATATGTAATATTGCTGTAGCTTCTCCACAGTTTGATATTTAGTGGAAACTTCGACTTTAACAGGGTCTTGAAGCGAAGCTCGCTGTAACTTTTGCACTTTCTTGGTCATAGTCGCTGAGAACAGGTAAGTGCGACGTTCACGAGGAATTACGCGAAGTATTTTATCAACTTCCACTTCAAAATCCATGTTTAATATTCTATCCGCTTCATCCATCACCTGGCAATAGACAATGTTTTAGTTCTAACAAATACCTTAACACTAACATATCAGATGAAATATATAGTGTTACCAATAAAAGTAAATTAATATTTAAAAAAGGAGTTTTTGAATAAGACAAATATCAAAAAAAAAATCATAACAAATGTATGATAATGTTTATAAGTCATTTAAATGATCTAACTGAAATCATTCACATAAAAGGCGACTCACGAGATATTTAAGTGCCTTCAAATTGAATCCCTTTGTATTCTCCAAGTGGTCGACCAGACGGCCAGGGGTAGCGATGATGATGTGTGGCTTCTTAGACAGGATGAGAGCTTGTGCTACCATGTCCATACCTCCAACTATTACTGCGCACTTCACACCTATACTGGCACCTGTTGAAATTAAGAAGTTTATTATAACTCCCTTACATATATGCTATTGTTTCATGATTAACTTGGTAATTTTAAGAATTGACAACCCTTAGAAAAAACATTTATTCACTTCGCTAGTAACCTATAGTGAAATTAGTCAAGTTAAATATTATATTAATTTATTTTGAAATCATTTAAATTTAAGCATACAGATTATTATTACCTAATAACTTTATTACATATACATATTTTTCAAGAATAATATGTGTATGACTACCTACGTGTTTATTGGAATAAGTAAAACAACTTTTAATATTTAATTGAACATAAATATGACAAATTTGTGTAAAATGTAGATGATATTTAGAAAAAAAAGGCAAATAATGAGTTTTGTGACCTAAAATCTAATGCTACAATTATTGGACAAGTTATGAAAAGAAATTTTTGCTACAATAATATTAAAATAGTCATTACCAAGAGCTTCAAATTGCTCAGATATTTGGAATGCCAATTCTCTTGTGGGTGTAAGAATGAGAGCAAAGTATCTTTGAGGATTTTCCAGCAGTGCTTGGAGTATAGGTAAAGCAAATGCTCCGGTTTTTCCCGAACCAGTTTCTGCTAAGCCAATGATGTCTTTTCCCTGCAATGCTACAGGTATTGCTTCTTTTTGGATCTTTGATGGATGTTTCCATTTCAGCTCTGCACAAGCTTCACACAGGACGTCAACCACACCCTGAAATAATTAATTACTTTATTACATTTAATTGCTTCGTATGTAACCTATAAATCTTAAATTCGGCGACTTGATAACTGTATGTAAGTAATAAGTCACACAGTTCAGTTTTTCTATTTGCTACCTTCTAAATTAGCTTAAATTGGCCAATTTTTTACCTAAAATTGTCCAATTTTAAGTTAATTTAAAGTTTAACTTACAAGTTCTTGAAAAGTCCCAGTGTCTTCTTCATGGTTCTCTTTAATTTCAACTTGCTGTTCTTCATCGGAGCCCTGATCCTCACTATCACTCTTTTCACTACCACTTTTTTCTTTATCTTCCGTCATTGTTATAAAATTTACAAATTATTTTCACTAAATACTATTGCTTAATGAATCAAGTACTATAATCAACACATGGCCATGCTTCAATCTTTAACATATGCCAATGTCAAATGAACAGTGGTGTTACTATTAAAAACTATTTTTATAATACATTTTACTTTATTGTATTACGTTAAAAATATATACTACATTTTTATAAAGGTAAAGAATGAGTTAAATATTTTTATAATTAAATTTCTCTTGATTACTATAAAATGTAATCCCTTATCGATGTAACTGACAAACGACAGAAGTCGACATTAGAAACAAAGCATCCAAACATAGTTGACAATTGACATTGTTTTTAAGGTTAGATTAAACAGAATTAATAAAGATTCGATATAAACAATTATTACTGTTGTAGATTTAATCTAGATAAATTTTAGTACAAAGAGAAGTGTAGAACTTTATCATGGCCAAGCATCACCCGGATCTTATATTCTGTAGGAAACAACCCGGCGTCGGTAAGCAAGTTTTTAAATCAAATAACTTTTGTAATTAACAATAAAGTTTTATTTTAATCTACCTATTAAATAAATTGTCTTCTCCGTTGAAATTGTAGTTAAATTCATTGTAAGAATATAAAGTAATTAAGGTTTATTAATAATTTTCACGATTACAGCTATTGGTCGTTTGTGTGAGAAATGCGATGGAAAATGTGTTATTTGTGACTCTTACGTGCGACCCTGTACACTGGTGCGTATCTGCGATGAGTGTAACTACGGATCGTATCAAGGGAGATGTGTTATATGCGGCGGGCCCGGAGTATCAGATGCATATTATTGCAAAGAGTGTACCACACAGGAGAAAGATGTATGTATTTATGACACTATTATATTCTTGCTATCATAAGTTTTATATAAACTACTAGGTATAAAATTCTTTACATATTGACAGTGTATAATGTTTCAATTTCTTATTCATTCAAAATATCTGCATCAGAATCATGGTATTATTCAAAGTTAACTATAAATTAATTCTTAAATAATAATTATGGTTGTCTTTCTTTACCAAACGAAATTAGTTAATATTAAAGTGGATATCTTATACTGATGATAAAATTTGCATTGAAACAAACAATTTTAAGAAGAATTGCATGTAGAACTCCATTAACTTGGCGGGAGGCACACCCCATATACCAACACTGACTGTCGGTACTGGGTAAAAAATACCACACTAATATTCATGTAAGAACTAGAGTTATTTTATGGGTAATTAAATTAAAATAATTTTTATATTTTCAATTAACCTAGATAGTTAGAAACTAATTAACACTTAGTATAATATCTAATATTTTAAATGATGATAATGATGATAATATCTAATATTTTAAATTTTAAATCACAGCCCAAACACTCAGCCATTTTGTGAACAAAACGAAAAATATTCTCTAAACTTATTAAAAAACAAAAAAATGAGATCAATTTTAAAAGAACGTAATATATCTTTACTTATAATTAAAATAAAAAAATAATTTAATATGGAACTTATTTGAAAACAGTCACATCGAAAATCACAAAAACATCTTTGAAAAACACATGCTCACTAAATGTGTTATATTACATACAAGTATATTTTACATTATTAGAGGCTAAACTGTTCGAGCACACTCTTCACAAATTGGGACAGTATGCTCTCTACATATTTTTTTATGGCACAGATAACAATCAGTCTTAGTTCTTCGAACTTTTTTCCATGGACATACGGAACACCGTGTTGCAGATATTTGCGAGCGCAGCTGGAGGGCTCTTTCCAGTTGATCATTTGGAATATTGTCATTTTGCTCGCCATTACCACCAAGCAAAAGTATTATTTTACGTTTTATAAATATAGGCAGGTTAATGACGGTAGATCTAGACTTAATTTGTGGAAATACAAGAGACACAGCCAACTCCTTCAGGTAGTCTCGTCTAGGTAACACCTCTTCGCCACGATTTTCTTTATTAGATTTCACGATTACATACGCATTTATACCGCCTATGTTCATAAGGCCATACCATAGCACCATAGGCCACCTTTTTGTGATGCGAGACACGGAATAGGTTCCACACAACTCGTCTACGACATCAACTCCACATTTGTGTCTGTTGTAATCTGTAATCATCTCGGGCTGTTTGGTGTCACCGGTCACTTCATCAATTTTTGCATCCTGATATGCGTAGTGGAAGCTAATAAGTAATAACACAACCTTTCCTTTTTTCGGAACGTATGACACTAATGTGCAATGCGGTTGAAACCCGAAAACAGAGCTATTTACCTCTCTTCCTTTTGTAGAGATAAGGTAAGGTGGCACTTGCGGCTTATTTTTTCTTACAGTTCCCAATACAGTCAAACCGTAATCCTTGAGTAATTCATCTATGAGCGGAAAGCTAGTGAACCAATTGTCCATCACAACATTTCTATTAGAGTGTTTTATAGGCTCCACCAAACGCTTTACATCATCAGCGGCGAAGTTATCGTGATCGTAAACCCCTTCATTTTTTGCCACATATATTTCAATATTTGAAGTATAGAATAGGCGAGCGTCACATAGTAAGAGCAACTTTATCCCGTATTTTCCTGGTTTGCTAGGCATGTATTGGCGAAAGGAGCATCGACCTCGTGTTTTCTCTAACTTTTCATCTATCGTGACATGTTCTCTTAGTAAAAAATATTTCTTTATGTTAACGTTAAAATCTTCAAATATCTCCCGAAATGCCGCGAGTTTATCTCCCTGCCTTCTTTCATTCCGCGTGCGAATGTCGTCAAAACGTAACATTTGTAGAAAGGTACCTAAAACGGCGCTGCACAAAAATAAATATTTTCGAAAGTATGCACTGTGTGGTAAATTTTACCCGATAGCGCCTCCCGCCGAGTTAAACAGAAACATGTGCTATATTATTATGTTTATTACTTTGAAATACTTGAATAACCAGATTTAAATATTTTTACAGAGAGATGGCTGCCCGAAGATAGTCAATTTAGGAAGTTCGAAGACAGATTTGTTCTACGAGAGAAAGAAATATGGTTTCAGAAGACACTAACGTTAGCTTTGAGTGACCATTATAGAAATATATTGAGTCACTATGTATGAACTTTATTACTTATTAAGCTAATTATAATATTTTTTCAATATTGTGAGTGTATTTTGGTGTATTCAGCGTGGACATTATTTTAATTATAACTACTACAGAAGTTTCATGATATGTAAAATAATTCTAAAGAACACCCATTTTTGAGAAAAACAATAAATAAATACAGGAACTTGTTATCTATAAAATTTATTTCATCTAATATCAAACAAATCTAATATATTACATTATCTTATAACTGCATACATTATTGTCACTTATTATTTCTAAAATGACATCACAAAAAAATAGATTTATCATAATAATATATACATTATTGGAATTTGGTATAAACAAAATAAATATTGTCTCTTAGCTTACAACACCGCTTAAGTCATTTTTACCAACTTTACAGAAGACGAAAAAAACTGTTTAATTTAAACTATGTTTTTTCTATTGCTACTTAATACAATAATTAGCGGTTAAGACATAATTATTTATAAATATTTTGACAATTTCGGTTCATGGCATCATGCATGGAATGGCATTAAAATGCAAAAACCGCCAATATCCAGCTTGAATATTGTTAGCTAAGGGACGATATTTTGTTTCAACGAACTTAAACCAAATTTTATAAAATATAAAGCACATTTAATATAATTTCTTAAGTTTATATATAGGAAGGCACATTTAACTGTTACTGCTTATAACACTGCTAGTTGAACTCGTTGGGTTTGTCCAAATGTTTGCATCATTGGAACCAACATCAGAATATGCTGGCCGAGCTGGTATGATTGGTGAACGGGTGCAGACACTGAAATAAATAACATATAGAGGATTTTTGTTAATTAAATATGCTTAACTAATATGACTGAACACTTTGTAGCATAATAATTGATTTTGTAAACAATATTCATTGAGACATTTCATTCATTAAAGAAACATAAATTATACATAAATATTTGACTAAAAAGTCTAGTTAGAACTTATAAATCCTTTAAAATTATATAACAAGATGTTTATGTAAGCTTTTATGTATATTCTTAGGAATTAATATGGCGTGCTGAAATATGATGCCATGAAAGTATTTCTTGAGAAATTAATATCGATAAATTGGTGCATCACTAATCACTGTGGTATTTAAGTCAGAAGAATGTCGATTCCCTATTAAGTTGATTTATTCCTAGACTTATCTTATTTGAAGATTAAGGAGTAATGTATTGCATTACAAAACTCATGCTAGGATAATACATATATAGGGTGCACAGTCGGTAATTATTCATGTCAAGCATGCAGATTCAGCATGCATATGCATATGCCACTGACCTGTTACACAATCAGCTCAGTCCATACTATTCCCTACAAATAATGATACATATGAAGAAACAATATAATACTACTATTTCTCTTATTTGGCAACTTCATATTCTTATTCATATGATAGATACCTCCTTTCTTAATTCTATTTTCTAACATCATGGCAACAATGAGATAAAGTTTGAATCCATATTTCAAAGGACTTTTATCAAGAGCCGTAAAAATTATACAAAAAAATAATTGATCCCATAGTCAAAACTAAGATTTTTACAATGTATTTAAAGTCTCTTACTCACGAGTTAACATCTTCTAGTTTTTTCAACAGCCTTTCATTTTCTCTGCTCAGTAACTCCTGTTCCCTCAGTAATTGGTCTCTGACCACAAATAGTTCAGTGTTCTCTTGTCTCAGTGCTGTGTTTTCTTCCATATGTAGTTGAACCAGCTCTACAAGTTCTGTTTGTGGCAGCGTGTACAACTTGTTGGTGGACACTTGTGGCGTGCCACGGTTTCTTCGACCTGGTAATGAAGATACATAATGTACGCTATATACGATATTGTCAATAGATGGCGCTATTTATCATGTTTTTTTATATACATAAAGTACCTAATAATTTTTACATTCTATTCTCTAATAAATACTTATATTTTTTTATGAAATAATTTATTTAATTTTATTCTAAACTTTAACAGTTTCTATTTCAATACCATTTAATGTCAAGATTTTAAATCTTTTAGTGTTTATGAATAAACATAATATGTTCGGTATTAATTGGGGCTTGATTAAGTAATAAAATTATCTGCTAAAATATATTAAACAAAGATAGCTTAGAATTATCATAAGAAAATTGTCTTTCAAATGAAATAAAACCCTATTGAAATCAATCGATCTCTTTAAAAGCTACTCTGCCTCAAACAGATAAAGACAAACAAACTCAAACATAGCACCCCTCTCTTTGAGGTGGATTTGAAAGATGAATCTTACTATAAGTATCTCCTTCATAATCGCCGTGTACATGTAGAGCTGTTCTCAAGTGCATGTTCTCTGCCTGCAACACTTGTACCTCCCGCTGTAGGCTGAGGATGAGGGCGTCTCGAGCATCCTGAATAATACACACGAGGAAAATAATGATAATATTATATATACTCTTTATTGCACAGTAAAAAAAATTACATGGTTATTTTAAACACAGAATTAATGTTGACAAAGGCAGGCTATTTTTCATAAATATTATTTAATATTTATGAAAATAGTTGAATGATTTTCTTTTAAATGGTAAATTGAAATTTAAATGACAGTATTGCCAGTTTGTATTGAAATATTCACCAGCCTAGAATGTAGTTCTGTAATGTAATTGTTATCACTATTCCTGTTTTGATACTTTGGTGCGTCGTATATAGATCAGATGTTTTTGGTATTTTTTATGCTAATGGCTGCGACTTAGAATTAGAAAATTAAATTATATTTCGAGCTTATATCTGACGTAAGTTTTAACAATTTTTATTACTCTGCAACCTCAGCCACAGAGGAAATATCAGTGTAAGAGTATCTTTTTGTAATAATAATAATAAGTAAACTATTCATCAAGTTGCCGAAATTCTTACCATTTTAACGATCGGTTTAGACTTGATCTTCTTAGCGCGAGCGGCGTAACGAAGTGTGTTCAATGTTTCACTGAAATTTGACTTCGTCGGTGAAATACAAGCGATCTGCAGTAGAGAGAAGTGATGAGACAGAATTAGATAAACTTATAAAGATAATTTAATATTTAATTAATAGATTAAGATTAAAACAGTTTTACCATTAAAGTGACTCCATTCCCAGCTAAACTATCAGCCAGTAGCTTTGTTAGTTTGCTATCTCTGTACGGTATATGACCTTTCTTTCTTCCGTCACTAAGTTGAGCTATGCAGTATCCTAGTAACAGAAATATGAAGTTAAAATTTTAATCTGATCGTATCCAAGAACTTGATGATTATTAGCTTTGATTTGATTTAATAAACATTCTACCTAATACTTGTTAGGATGACTTCGGATCAATTTGCATAGTGGATGGTTTTGGATCATTGGCCAAAAATTAAAAAGTATTCCATATAACAAACACCAAGTCCTCGCTAAGCCGTTGCCAAAAGATTTAAAGTATTACATAACGAATACCCTCCTCACCCAAGACCATCAAGCTCCTGTTAATATTGTTCGCCTCCTCGAGCGTCTTGCCGGTGCTGTTCGTTCGTTTCGTCATCTCACTGCCCGCCAGGTCCACGAAGTTGATCTTCCCGTGAGTGCTGCAGCTCACGTCCCTGGAGCACTCGTCCCGCCTCACTCGCACACTCAACACGGTGTGCGAGCGAGATGAGTGAGCATTCATTGAGTGACTACCCACAGAACGGTTACGCATACCTGATTTGAATATTAACTCATTAGTCATGATTTTTGGAGATCATATTACATATGGAAAGATGGAATGACAGACGACAAGTAATTTTTTTAAAAGGGATATAATTATTATATATTTTATAGTAAAATAGGCTTCTAGTTTGTGGCATATGAAATTGTGGATAAAATATAGATATAAAATAACAGATCATTTAGATTTTAAAGCAACCATGGGAAGTATTTAACTTCTTTAATTAGGATATTGTTTTTGAACGAATACTTGATCATATAAATGAATGTTAAATGTAGACATATGTATATGTTATTATAACAAGAAATTCACATCTCGTCTGCCCAAGATCCACAGTTGAATGTAGTCTTTAAAATAATAAAATAACGCGTAGTGTAAACCATAAAAAAATAGTTTTATTTAAATGAACACTCGCGAAAGTCTTAATTCTCTTTACATGATCATAGTTTATATTATTGACCTACCTTCCTCTAAAACAGCGAACAGGTCATCCAACTGCTCACAGTCAACTGTAAAAAGGTTTTCCACGTAGAAACTCCGACTGTCTTTGGACCATCGGACTTGTAAGGGCTTTTTCGACGTACCTGGGTTCAGTAGATCTATTACCTGAAATATTTTATTATAACTAACTACATATCACTCATATTAGAGTATAGTTTTTATAACTAGAAACATATGAATGGGTTTATAAATAAACAGTCTTTGTTTTATCATCATGTGGTAGCTAGTTAGCAAACCTTTTCATTATATATCTCAAGAAAGGAAGCCTTGAGCACGAAGTGGCAATCAGGATGATCTCTTAGAAGCTGGAAGAGATACACGAACGAACGCACCACGAGCCCGTGCTCCGCGGCGAAGGGACTGGCGCCGCTCTCCACCTACAACAATATATTAAATATACTATACTAGCTGTGCCCCGCGGTGTTACCCGCGGATATCCGGGATGTAAAGTAGCCTATGTGTTATTCCTGGACGTCAGCTTCCTGTATACAAAATTTTATCAAAATCGGTTCAGCCGTTTGAGCGTGAAGAAGTAACAAACATACACACACAATCACAAACTTTCGCAATTATAATATTAGTAGGATATATATTATGAATATGAGAGAGTAGAAGGGCTTTAAGCATTAGTCAGAAAGAATCAGGATCTTTCGTTCTGTTAAGAGCGTCATTGTCGAAGGATTTAAAGAAGATTTATTGTGAACAGTAGACACGACCGTTTTTAATGGATGATAAATTGAGACTGAAATATGTGATGATAGCTAGGTGGGCCATGGAGAAGTGCTGATGAAGCAGGAATATGGTGTAGAGTCAGGAGAAAAAGGTACATTGGGAATATGTAACATTTGGTAATTCGTATTGGTGTGATAGACTAATTGATATTGGATTTTCGTAGTGTTTAAATCTTTTCGCTTTCGTTTGTGTTATATTCAGATTTCATTCCACGATAAATTTAAAATGAATATATCTGAACCTTATTTTATTTAACATTGTATATAGTTTTGTGTAAATTTAATAAATTAATAATGACATTGTGTCGAATATTATTTTTAAATAATAAATTATGATCCTATTTCTAAGAATTGTGCTATGCTATTTTGAAAGACAGTAAATAGCAGACGACAGTACGTTAATAAAAATGTTACAAGTTAAGTATCAGTTAACGTGTTGATTTAAAAAGTAAAATAAAAATAAAATCGCTGGAACCATTTCATATGAAAGCAATTTAGTAAGAACAATAAAGTAAAGAAAACAAGTTGTATATACAGTTAGGTAAATGTACTTTAGTTTTGTATTTAAATTGAATTTAATATTAAAATTATTAGTGGAATTAGTGAACTATGTCCATTCACCTCCACGCAGAGTTGCTCATTATAAAAGAGGGTTAATATGTTATAATCTACAATTTAGACATATAAGACAAGATATTTAATTTTATTATTTATTATACATAAAATGTAAGGAAAATATTATATTTTAATAACAATATAAATGTATTTATAATAAATATATTCTATATTCTCTAATGTTATGTGATAATGACGCGTCCGCACGCGACATTTTAACAAACATTCAGTGATTGATGGTCTATAGGACGCCCGCGCCATATACATTTGTTCGACTCGCTGACTTTAAAACAATGGATTTTATGTTTTTTTTTTTACGTCAATTAGTGTTTGTTAAACAGCCGTTCATCCGAAGTCATTGTAATTGGTTGTTTAATTTATTTTAATCTGTGGTTATTCTAACCGCCTTTTTTTTGCTGACATGTACCTACTGTTTTTTTATTTCATTTTTTTAAATCTATCTCAAACTAAAAAGGTTTATTTATATTTACATATTGTAATATTTTTTTATTTCAGTCAAACCAAAGATATAGATCATTAACAAGAAATATATGTCTTGTTCTACCTGGCAATTTCCCAGCTTTAGCTAGGGTCTGCCTTACATGTTGATAGTTTTGACTAATTGTTTTTACGACCGGCCGCCTGCCTGACATCAACCCTCTTTGGGAATGCATTAATCAGAGATGTCTAAATACTCTTAGAAAGTACATATGACTCGGAAAAATCACATTGGTACTTGCCAGGTATATGTATACATAAATAATCGTTTTCGTCACTTATTAATAAGTCCTCGCTAGCAGACAGTATGTCGACATTTTTATATGCAATATCAATACAATTACGTACGTCATTATCGATCCGGATATCTCTGTTTGCAAAACGCTTTTTACTTTTGGTATTGAAACAGAATACTCTATTCAGAACTATTGTCCATATGTCTACGGGTCAAGGCAACTCAAATTATTGTATATAAATTAAATATACACCAAAAATTATTAGTGTTTCGACTTTTATGAATAACTTTAACAAGAATATGTCTAATATTGTACTATTTTAATTGTATTTAATTGAATACTGAACTATTTACGTAAGCAAAACATAAAAATATTAGTTGGCCCACACCAAATATTATGTAACTATTCCTCTTCAAAGAGTTTTTATGCGATATATACATACTAGCTTTCCGCCCGCAGCTCCGCCCGCGTGGAGTTCGGTTATATCGCGTTTCCAAGAGAACCTTTCAAAAGTCTGGGATAAAAACTATCCTATGTTCTTTCTCAAGGTCAACTCTGTCTCTGTATCAAATTTCATTGAAATCAGTTCAGTGGTTTAGGCGTGAAAGCTTAACAGATAGACAGAGTTACTTTCTCATTTCTAATATTAGTAGGGATATGTATGTATAACTCACAAGTCCCGGAGGTCCCGTGAGTGTGTGCGTCTTGCCACTCCCGGTCTGTCCGTAACAGAAGGCCGTGCAGGAGAATCCTTCCACTGCCATCTCCAACAAACGCTTGATGCCCGAATACTCTAATACGTCCTCCTGAACCAAAAAATAATTATTGCTTTTCTGTTCCTCGTATAAAATATAAGAAGATTTGAGATTTGAAGTTTTGTAAACAAATTTTCTTAACCACAAGTTTAACCTTTTATAAGTTAGAGCCGATATTTTCACCACAATGATTTTTTTTTAACTGATATTTCGTGCACCGGTCGTATTTTTTATTCAGACAACTTTTATGATTGTCAATATAGTTTGATAATGAAAGATTTGACAAATATATATTTATATATACATATGTTTTATTATATACCTTTAACCATCATTAACTTTGTTTTTCAACTGTCCACTCCTTATGACCGTTAAAGGATTAAAGCACTATACAGGGTGACTGGTGAATTACTATCAATATTTAAGGAGGATACTCGGTATATGATTCTCATTCGAATTATGTAAAAAAATAGGTACTTAATTTTTGACCAAATTTCCGTATAAATAAATAAAGTGAGGACAAGTTCCAAGTGTTCCAAGTGTGGACGCGTGCGGCGGCGTGCTGATACAACACAACGCCGCCGCACTCGTATGTGTGAGTGTGTGTGTGTGTGTATACCTAATCTGTAGGGTGTTTACACGATGCGTAATTAATTACATAACTTTTGGTTAACTTTACTTAGAAGTTTATTAATATTTATATTATATTAATTTTTATTTTGTCATATATGATCGATAGTAATTCACCAGTCACCCTGTATAGTTAATAAAGCATAATATTTATTAAGAAAAACTAACTTGTGTAGCGGCTGGCTCAAAGACGACGTTGTATGAGAATACTTTAGGTTTCTGTCCGGGGGCTGACCCTTGACACACGATTTGACCCTTGCCGGGGAACTCCAACATGTTTTGTTCACGAATAGACCTCTCCTTGTCATTAACTGGACGAACTCTGGTACAAATAAATTGAAATTTCACGTATGTTATCTTTATATAAAAGAAAGTCGTGTTAGTTACAATGTTTATAACTCAAGTACGGCTGTACGGATTTAAATGAAAATTGGTGGCGAGATAGAATAGCACAAAGGAAAAAGACGTCGGATACTTTTAAAAATAAGTTAATCAAATCCAAGATCTTATTTATAATAGTTGTACACAATAATTATATTTTATTGGAAAATAAAAATATACCCCTGCTCTAATCAAAAGATTCTAGTTCGGAAGCACATATAATGTATTAAAAATATAAATTAGTCAAAAAATAGTTTTATCAACAAGATAATATGTAATTAGTGCACATATTAAACACTTTTTACTGTCACTAATAGTAATTTTATCAGTAAACAAGTAATGTAAGTCACCTGACAACAACATTAATGTTGTCTTCATCTGAGTTGAGGGCGCTGTTGGAGCCCTGGGTGCTTCGGTCCAGACTCCCCGCTCTACTGCTGCCACTGATAAATAAATATAGTAATATAATATTAATTGTTAATGTAGTTTAAGTTATTGAAAATCACGATAGTTAGTTTTTTCTATCAAAACAGACGAAAAACGTGTTTGTGATTAGAAAAATTCCCAAAACGATTAAGCTTTGCTGAATTCTTATAAAAACTAAAAATATCTAAAACTTTCGCGAGTATTAATTTAAATGAAACTCAAATTGTTCGTATTACTACGGCTTATTTTAGTATTTTAGACTACATACTCCCTACAATGGGTCTACTTTTCACCTGATCACGGATGCAGAATTTAACCGAAACGTCGGGAACAGTATAAAATAATACAAATCGCGTAGTATCTGAAAATATAAGTTTAATTTTTATAATGAGTTTATATTAATATCTAAAAGATTCGTTATATATTCCACGGTTAATTTCAGAATTCCGAGAAGTCATTATCAAAGCTAAATAAATTCAATATCCTCATTAATGATGTTAATTTCCTAATGGCGACTATCATCAACAACCAAACAATGTAAATGCTCTAAAAACAATAGTTTTACAATACATTGTTATAACTAAAACAAATTAACACAAAAAACATGTTTTTAATAAAGTAAACTATTTTTTTCTCATATTTTTTGTATTCATTACATATTAATCATTAATTTCAATTTCATTTTTTCTTAATCATTTCTTCTTTATTTATTCTACCTCATAACATTCATATCGTGTAAGGGTGAAGTAATATTATTTGTTTTTGCTACGTAATGTACGCGTTAGGTCTAAACGGCAATTCCGATGTAAAAAGCAATTATCGATAGCCATAGTCGGTTGTTGATTTTGTCTACAATATTTTCAATGAAATACAGTATTATGTATTTTTTTTTCATAATTACAATATAACAATTAATTTAATTCCTAGCAAAATAATTAGCATTATAAATATGATGTTTGAAGGACAAAATAAAAATAGATCTTAATTCCACTGTTTGAAAATGTTTTTTTTTTCATATGGCAATAACTTTTAATTTATATTTAGGTATTCAGCTCAAAATTTTACTGCCTTTAACATTAATAAATACAACCTCTTTACATTGCTTTTTTTTCATTTATCATTAGTGTGTTAAAATAAATAATTTTTAAATACCACTTACTTTTCGATTTACCAAAAAAGAAGTTCAATAAATTATTCAGATGTTTTCTAATGTAACCGAACGTCGAAGTACATTCTCGAACACCTTGACAGCTAGTTACCAGTGATTCGATTTAAAAATGGCGGACTAAAGTCAAGGTCCCGAGCTATTGGATAATTTAGGTATTATTTCAAATTGAACTATTATAGGCAAAATTTTAATTCTAATAAATCAATATGTGAAAAGCACTTTATTCATTGCGGTTGTTTCATATTTTTTTGTATGTTTGAAAACCGTTTAATTCCTTACTTCGACAATTAAAAAAAATGGTTAAAACTGAATCAAAAATAATTTGAAATTAATTCAATTTTTACGTAAAGAATAAAGAATAAACATGATGTACTTTGTATGCAAGTAGTTTTTATTTGTTTTTCATTCATTTAAGTAGCTTTTATAACCTTTATAGCCAATAATAATGTGGACCAATAGAAATTGTAAGTATTTATTATGCCTCCGCTCGAACAATACTTCAGTAACACTTAATATAATGTTACGAAGGCTTATTGCAAACAATTTATATGCAGATATAAAAATGGTATTTTATATACAGGGTGACTGGTGAATTACTATCGATACTTGAGGACGTGATATTTGACGATCATATATGACAAAATAAAAATTAATATAACATAAATATTAATAAACTTCTAAGTAAAGTTAACCAAAAGTTATGTAATTAATTACGCATCGCGTGGAGACCCTACAGATTAGGTATACACACACACACACACACACACGCGTGCGGCGGCGTGGTGTTGTATCAGCACGCCGCCGCACGCGTCCACACTTGGAACACTTGGAAAGTGTCCACACTTTATTTATTTATACGGAAATTTGGTCAAAAATTAAGTGCCTATTTTTTTACATAATTCGAATGAGAATCATGTACCGAGTATGCTCCTTAAATATTGATAGTAATTCACCAGTCACCCTGTATAACTCGTAAGTTGAGAAAATAAAAAATATAGTCTTTTTTACATAAAATATTTAGGGATATTTAGGAAACTGAATGAACAATAATATTTTTAAGACTTGGATATTTAAGAAGTATGAAAAATATTTTAATAAATACAACTACTGGTTTTCTGATCTGAGACAATATGTAACTGACTTTCAAGTGATAGGTATGTTATATGTATAATAATTTCATTACATTTCTATTAAAAAAGTTTTATTTAGAATAAAACTTAGTAAGAAAATAACTGCACTGTAAGTGCGTTTTTACGATCTGTATTCAATATTTTTATCAAATAAAGCTACGTCTAAACCCGATTCAAAAGAACAAAATTTTCTATACTTCTATTCTGTCATCATTAACAACACGTCAATGAGATATAATAAATGCGATAAGAATTGTGTATATTGAAGTATCAAATCGTCAGATAATATTCAATTAAATAGAAATATATGAGGTTTTTTATTTATACATATGTCATAATAAATTAGTGTATCTTTAAAACAGTGTACAAAGTATAAGAACTGATCAAGTTACAAGTTTAACGCTTAAGGCCACTCCGCTTGAATGAAATGAATCGTGAGTGAGACGAGATGCAAGAGCTAATAAGATTAGGAGATTCATTTTTTCATTTTCCAAACGATATCGAGTGTCATTTCACTAAAAGGGACATGATTATTTTATCCAAAAAATGTACTGCAAGTAAGAAACTTATATTTTTTTCTTCACTATCGGAAAATAGAGATTTCAAAAAATAGAAAACATACAAAATTTTTGAAAAAGCTGATATTTTGACGGGTGATTTTTCGATTGAAAATGAGGCTGATTTTTCGGTATTTATTCAAAATAAGCTGAAAAAATAAATATTTCTAATCAAATAAATTACAGTGCATATGTAACATTAAAAAGAAAGTTTTCACCAAATTTCAAGACGAAATATTGTTTTTTATATGAGACTAGTTTTTGCCCGCGACTTCGTCCGCGTCAATTTCATCATTAGTAATATAGGTATAGCTGACCGGGCGAACTCTATTCCGTCCTAGAGACCATAAATAATCAGGTTTTTCCTGTTTCAATCGAACAGAATGATTGACATATTAGTTAGTTGTCAAATCTAATGTCAAAGAAAACATTGGTATGGGAAATAGAAAAGGGCTGTTTTTAGAGTTTTCCCGGAAATGAATAAATTTTTCTCACCTTTTAAACCTTCCCTGAACCTCCACAAATATTTCAAGACTAAGATAAGATAAATCCGTTCAGCCGTTCTCAAGTTTTAGCGAGACTAAGGAACAGCAATCCATTTTTATATATATAGAAGATAAAAATATAAAACCAAAAACTTGGTTTTTCGAATTTCCACATAAAATTTGAGGTTATGTGATAAAAATGTTAGTACAAAAGTTTTATATCTTTTTATTACCTACAACTTTGCCTTATAACATTTTTTCGTAGGACTTTAAGTTTTGCCGGAAATCGAGAAAACTCATTTTTCACCCTTAAATACCCATCCCCTTCTCGACCTCAGATCGCCCGTAAATTATTTTTCCATTAATTTTTATAATATTCCCCTCCTTTTCTAATGAGTTTTATTCTACAATAATTTAATTATGTTTTAAAAGCTATCGGCACTGGTCTATTAGGAGTCTATACTATAATATATTTCATAGTATTATTGTTTTTGTAAATGTCACAGGCAATGTGTTTAAGTAGTCAATTGTTAAAAAGCCCAGGTATGACTTATCACGAATTATGTAATGTGACTATTAATGACAGCTTGTTTTTTTATCCTACAAGATCGTTTATACTCAGCAAATCCATAATAGGTCATTTCAAACACAAATATGCTTCAGATGTAAAAGAATATAGATTTTTAGATATCAAATATGTCTGAACTTGATGTAAAAGTAGAAACTGTGGTTTAATTCGGAATAAATTCATAGTAAGTATATATACCTTTTGTACTTCGAAAATTATATCACGTAAACAACAAAATAATTAAAAACCATCTGTCAAACGAGTTAATTTTTTTTAATGTTACTTTTAGCGGGAACGAAAAACATTTTTCCGCCATTAGGACGCACCCGGCCATCTTGAATAATATGATTGGTGATAGTTTTAAAACGAACTTTTTAATATTAAAATATAATTGTTTTGTTTATTTTACTACTAAAATCAGTTCATCAGCAAGGTCAGCCTTATAACAATGAATGAGAGAAATTGTTGTTAACATCGCGTGATACCTTTAACACGATAAGAACTAATTGCTATTAAATATTAAATAAGTCGCTCCATTGACTTCCGATTCCTACGATTTAGATCTACAAATGATTTATTACTTACAAGCTTTTGTGTGACTTACGAGGTTTTAAGGCTAAAATATAAGTTGATACTATCAAGTAGGAAATATAAATATTAGAAGAAAAATTTAAAGGGAATAAAATTTGCTATATGTAATAGGTATTTATCATAATTTTTTTTTGTGTACGTGTATTTTTTATTTGTTATCTCTATAACATTATTTATCTCTATAAAGCAGATAAAATTGAAGTATACTACAATAAGCATAATGAAATCCAACACTTTCGCGAGTATTCATCTAAATTAAACTATTCGGATACTACGCATTCACATCTCGTCTGTCCGTGCAAAATGCAAAGTAACCGAAACGTCGGAATTTGTTGTTATAATAATATTAATTTCATTTAAATACAATAAGCATAGTTTGTAACTGGTAAGAAAAGATTTAACGTAGGGATTTACGAAATTTGCGTAAATGTAAGCCTTAACGAAGAAGTAACTTAGTTTGACAGGATTTTACAAAATTTGCTTCAAAGTTAGTCTTATTGAAGTTACGTAGTTTAGTAGATCTCCTCTCACGTTTGTAAAATTATATCTAGGAATAAACTAAATTTCTTTTCTAACTCACCTGCCGTTCCTTGATCTACTCTTCAGACTGTCGCTGTCTTCCCACTTCACCAACGTAGGTAGACCTCCCGAACTTGACCCCTTCACCAGATTTCCTTCAGCTTGTTCCGTGCTCCGAACCTTGCGAGCCTTCAGTTCTTTTCCTTTAAAATAATTGAGAGTTTATAGAAATTTTTAATATAATAGTCATTAACTTTACAATAAATTAACAATATTCCAGAACCAACGTCAATTCATTCTTGGAATCTATTCGGAGGCAGCCCTAGTAGGTTCTTTTGAAATTATGTAGAGAGAGAGAGGCTTGGACAGTGGAGGTGAGCGTTTAACGCGCGTTAGATAAGGGCCCCTTAAACCTACACCTGGGTCGCAAGTTCCAGTCACTGTTGAAGCTCCTCTCACTACAACGATGGACCCGACACACGCATGGTGGATACATTGAATGCTGAGAAGTTTTCGTCTCGTTTTCACAAACTAAATACAAATACTTTCCAATTTTTAATCTATGCAGCCATATTAATACATGTGCGATCTTTCACCAATGAAAACTATAAACTTTCTTTAGTTTAGTTTGAAAAGAAATGAAAATTCTTGGTAAGAGTAACATGCCAAGATATTTATCTTAAAGCGATCGGATATTTTATTGTAGAGTATAACTAGAAGCGGACTTGCACGTCAATAGTAAGAACAGTTATACTACACTGAATATTATAATATTATTTTTATTGATGCTAATACGAAATTAGATAATTGCTTCATAAGAATATGGGCTGGCTCGACCACCACCCTCTCCCAGAAGATCGGCGTTAAGTAGTCATTAATGTTTGCGTATCTTCCAATAAGTAAGAGTGCTGGTTGCCCTTTCCTTATTCCTACCCTTTCCTACTTTTTCTTCAACAACCAAGGTTAGCAATACATCCACAACATCTTTTATATTGCAGATATACATGGACAAAGAAGACTATTAACAATCAAGTAGGCCGTCTGCTCGTATGACATCTTTCTTCTTCTACCTGGCAATTTCCCAGCTTTAGCCAGGGTCTGCCTTACATGTTGTGAATAGTTTTGGCTATTTGTTTTTACGACCGGCCGCCTGCCTAACATCAACCCTCTTTTGGAAATAAGTATCATAAAAAACCTTACCACATCTTGTCGTCGCAACTAAAGTTTCAGCACTTTTGGATAATTTCCTCATCAATGCTGTTGGCGGAGCTCTCATTGGTGTATTCTGGCGATGATGGTACACCATGTTTGAATCCACTTGGCCACTTCTCAAAGCCATACACTCAACACATTTTATCCACTATACACCACAAAGATAGCATCACATGCGGGTGTATCTTGTCACTTATCATGAACCATTTCAATAATTGCGTATCAGAAATCAATAATATAATTTTACTAATGATATTTTTATTATATATATAAGCATACTACTTGATACTAATAGAATTTTAGTTCAAATATATGTTTAAAGTACGTACGAGCGTCTACTATGAGAGACTCTTTCGGACTGAATAGCTTTCAGGCAATAGCTGACGATTTCCCCTATAGTTTGTTAACTCGTCAATATGTGTGTGGTTGTAGTTTGAAATGACAACTTTGTATTGGATTATTATATTATAGAGAGTCAAATGTGTATAGATAATATTAATTAATAGAACTAAACTTAAATAAATAGGTCTTCTCATTTATCAACATGGTTATAGATTTTCTTTAAAAAGAATTTTATATAGCTTTTAGTACTTATCTAATTCGGTAGATATAAGCAAAAATTAAAACGGATTTGTAATTATTATAACAACAAAAATTCTATCGATTTTCACACATAATTTTACAAAAAAAAATTAAGGTTTTAAATAATAGATTTCCCTCCTATTAACTTAATGTCAATTAAGAAAGAATATATATATTTAATGAATTTTTTCCAAATATCTTTCTTAAATCAACATTCTAAAACGTAAAACCACTCGCCCTTAGAATTATTCATACATAATAGAACAGTCTGCCTTTCACACTTGAGCACTGTACGAGTAAATTATTCACAAGAAACAAAGTTTCAGTTTTTAATGATTTATTTGTTTATAATTTAGAAAGATTTTAATGAAACAAATATTTTATTAATACTTAATTTCACATCTCGTCTGCCCGTGATCACGGTTGCTGAAAAGTCGGAAACGTCAGGAGTATGTAGTTTTTAAACATCCGAAAAATATTAGTTATTTTTAAATGAATACTCGCCAAAGTCTTAGATCTTAATTAAGAAGGATATCTCGTATTTTATTTGTTTTATTTAATGAACTTCAATAATAAATGCGATTTTATTATACCTTGAAGTTACTTTTTTGCTTTCATTAAAGTAGATAGAAAGTTTAATGCAATGTTATACGATTAAAACCATATTTTAAACATATTTCAAAAACAATAATTGATATTGAGAATATATTAAAACAATATTTCCATAATAATGTCGATAAAAGATAATAATGTTTTATTACGTACAACTGTTGTTTTCTTCAAAACTAAATTTTCCCACATTAATTTTATTTTTATATCTTGATCTAATACAAACATTAATTATGTAGCAAATATTGTCTCCCCAGTAAAATATAAATTGTAATTTCATGTTATTATTGAGGGCCAAGGTCCACTTACCTAATTATAAGTACCTACAGTACTTTGTGAAATTGTACGAGGGTAGAGGTCGTTGACCCCACCCCTTTTTATACAAGATTTTTCTAGGTATTTCCAATAATATTATACCTACAAACTAATATATAAGGAATAATACACTGCTAATATTATTTTAAACATATTTATATTCATAATTTGGTAAGAGTTTGAATCAATAGTAAAAAAAATGAGAAAAAAATCTATGCGCTTCCTAGAAGAACAGGTAATAATTGAATAATAATAACTAAGAGAATGTGACAGTTTAATGAAAAATAGTCTAGTCTATTGATTTCTTTATTAATTTTACACGCCAAGGATGTGTATAGTGATGGACCTTAAAAAAATCGGAACGGAAATAGAATTAAAACGGTTTTAATTTCCGCTCTATTTCCCTGTAGAGATATCGACTGGTCTAAAAACTATAAAACTAGAGCGAAATTGCTCAGTAAATAAATGAAATTGTTTAATTTGTGTATACAATTGAGACAAATCTCATTGAGACTGAACACTTTTGAATTACTTATGAAGATAACAGCTTAATTTTCCTTTCTTTCTTTCCTAATCTTTTAATTCCATGAAATATCTTTTTCTTAATGCATTCATTTTACCTTTTCAGATATATTTTTTTTTCATATATATCATTACTATCCATCTGTTTCTTAATCATTCTCGACTAATAAATTGACTTTACCTTTCACTCCTTATTCTACTCTTCGACTGTTCAAATATATGGCATATACCCTGGATTTACAATAATAGTATCCATATAAAAACTTTTAAATAAAAATAATATTTTTCGGAACATACTACGCGTGCATCATTTTAAAAAACTACATACTCCCGACGTTTCGGTTACTTTTCAGCAACCGTTATCACGGGCAGAGGAGATGATCAAAGTTTTGCTTAGTCACATAAAATAGAAGAGATTTTACGTTTATTCTACATATAAGGTAAGTTAATGATATGTGAAATTATCTATGAATGGAAAACTGTTAACGCTACGTATATAGTGTGGCGATGAAAACTAGTAATTATAGATAGACAAAGAAAATATTAGTGTATATTAAGAAACGAAGAATACTTCAGTCATACCTTACGTAAAATTTACCGAGTCATATGTACTTTCTAAGAGTATTTAGACATCACTGATTAATGCATTCCCAATGAGGGTTGATGTCAGGCAGGCGGCCCGTCGTAAAAACAATTAGCCAAAACTATTCACAACATGGCAGACGCTGGCTAAAGCTGGGAAATTGCCAGGTAGAAGAAGACACCGTACTTACAATATTACATACAGACGTAGTTAAATCGATATATTTGCAAATTCGATTAAAAGATTCATCTTTCTTCAAATATAATCACCAAAAAGTAATTTTGATGAAAAATGGTAACACATTGTGAGAATAAATTGGTTTTTGGAAAGTAATTCGTTAACAATGCTGCTAAGTTCATAGAATATAGTATTTTATTATAACACCTTCGTGGTAGATATGGGGCAAGGGCAGAATACTTACACCTAGAATATTAAAGATACGAACTACGATTCAGTTAGAACTATTACTGGCGAGTTTATAATAGGAAAAACAATAGCATATAGATATATAATTTTATGAAGAAATCTGGTATTTTCATAAAAGCACAATCACTTAAATTGAAGACAACATCTCTGTCTGTAAAAAAAAAAGTATTTCTCTTAAAAACAAAATCAAATAGTTTCGATTTGAAAACATTGATAACGTTTTCAAATTATATATTCAATAATTTTAAATTATATACATAAATATACAATATATTCTGTAAAAAGTAATACAGAAGAAATATATTTCGTGTAAGTCATCAAAACTTCACGTAAACAACTTTCAATGTATGACAAGTAAACATGTCTGACAAAACATTGCAGTGATTATCGGAACAACTAATGTTTGGCGGGGAATCGATAAAATTCATCGGTGTAATGACTCTGAATCGATTTTTGTGAATAGTTTTCGCGTTTGAACATTTATATATGTAAGGTAAATGTTGTTTTGCCATATTAAAAATATGTGATAAAAAAGTTAAAATTGTTGGTTTGCATGTATTTTTTAATGTGACATTACAAAAAAAAAATAAAACCAAAAATTTCGTCCGAAAAAAAATAATTAAAAGTAAATAACCCTTATGACTTAGGGGTAAGAAAAATAGATGTTGACCGATTCTCAGACCTACTCAATATGCTCAAATTTCATTAAGATCGGTCCAGCCGTTTCGGAGGAATTCTCTGTTTAACACCGCGACAAGAAAAATGTATATATAAAATTATTAAACCATATATATTTTAAAATGGTAATTTTGTATCAATTTTGTATTATGGCAGAGTATTGTGTGTTATTCATTTTGTTACAGCGATGTCAATGACATGACGGCTTTTTGGGCGGGAACTGTCATTATTCGTTCTGAAAACTGTCAATTATGGCCGACCATGTATTTAGCGGTAATGATCAATTTGCGGTCACAGTTATATGAAGTTATATGGTAACATAAATAAATAATTAAAAAAACCTTTTTTCAGTGTATTTTTAGTATAAATAGAAGTGATTTAGAAATCTTAAGCGCTGAATATGTTAATAATTCGTTAATATAAATGTATTATGGGTCACACAATGACGTGTTATTTTCGGTTCGATGCACATTTATTTTTTGGTTCAAGTCGAAACTTAATGTCTGTTTCCATGAGACCAAATAAAATGTTAATAAAAAAAAAAAAATCACAATCATGTTCTTAGCATGGTACAAATTAAAAATATATGTATTTTTAGAATTTAGTGACGTTAGAAAAAAAAGATAGAAAAATAAAAGCAAAAATATAATTATGATGTGTTAATTTTCTTTCTTTACCGAATATAATAGTTACTTATTATACTTTCTTTCTTAATATTCAGTTACTTTTTCAATATATTTTTCTTTTATCTGTCTTGAAAAATATATATATTCTACACTTTATTCACAAACAAGATAATTAAAAAAAAAGATTTACAAGCTTTAATAATATAATAATATGAATTATATTCAGATTATGAAACGTTTAGAAAAAATGACAATGGACACAGATAATGTTAGAAACAATAGCACTTCCTCTTCCTACATAAGTACACACATTGTAAATGCATCATCTTTTAAATAATATATCATAATCACTTCTTATTTTAGTATACTTGAATTATAAGAACTAAAATTTAGATTAAAAAAATTGGTATAATTATTTAATTATTTTCTTTATTAATATTAATTTTATATATTATTTAATATTGTATTTTAATTCTTCAATGAAATTCGTACATAAAAAATATTACGACTATCATCTATAACAAAGTTTTTAGCCGCGCAATAGAAAGAACAAAGAGGTTTTATATATTTTCGAAGTCCTTTTAAAATCATTCCAAATTGTATAAAGTTGGATATGGCGCTAAATTAGGATTTTCAAAAAAAGAATGAATGTAAAAAAATATATCATATATCCGTAAATGAAATAGATCGAAACCAAACAGCCGTTTATCATATATAAAACTCTTTTGTACAAAAAATACCCAAAAATTAACGAAGCATAAACAAGTTAAACTAAAAATCATACAAACTCCATAGCCTTCAATACAGGCTCAGTGGTGTAACAAAAAACAATTGCTATGATCATTAAAAATGCCGGACGCCAGCACAGCCGCCCAGTTTAATACGCGCTCCCGCGAAACGAACAGCGTTCTAAATTTGAATTTTATTTTTTTTTAAACATAGACAAAGAATGCAACAGTTGACGTTATAGCGAACAGGTTTTGCATGCGGTCAGTGGCTCGAGCAAGGAGGATGCACTAGGGCTCTGTGTTACGAAATGGAGCGGTTTACTTTAGTGGTAAGTTGAATATTATTATATTAATAAAACATATACTAAATATATTTACGATTTTTTTGTTTGTGATATATTTGTAAATTTAAATTTTGTAAATGCTAATTAGGTGAATATTTAATTTAGTTGCATTATTGTATTCAATAACAAATGTTTTATTAACAATTATTTAATAAAAACTGTGGTCTCACAATAATTAGATTTATTTAGCTCCTTGCCATAAATATGAATAAAAATATATGTATATCGAAATGTAAACATTAATAATATTTAGATTAAGATTGAAATATCGTTGAATCAGTAGATCTTTTTTCTGTTACAATTTACTAAGAGACGAGATATTATGAAAATAATAATTTCAATAATATAAAAATTCTCTATACTGCAAAACTATGTATGCAATTTAAAAGTTTTTTAATCAAGTACTATTCAACAACAAAATTCTTTATTGAACCAATATTAAAATATCGTAAAAAATAAATAATGCAATTGTTTGTTACATCCAATTACGTAAGATTATTATGTTAAATATAATACGAAACAAAAAACCGGAAACCGTACTAACGGTGGAAATCGTAACTTAATTCGCTCGGCCGTTAACGAGAATGACATATAGGTACGTCACTAGTCCTTTACCCTTATAACGCGTTTGAATAATAACAATTAATTCAGTAAGTTTCCATATTTACATTAATATACCCACGTTGATAATATCGTGTGAGATTATTTTAATATAAAAATTGAATACTCTGTTTAATTTGACGAGGGAATCAAGTACTAAGTACTTTTGTGGTTTGTAGCCCTAAAGTAAACTATTAGGGTTGACCTTACGCCCACAAGCTTACATTGTACATGGTGATTATAAACAGATTATAGGCAACACTGTTCATTATGTATAGTGTTTTATTAAATATATAAATATTGTCTATGTTTTATTGTGTGATTTTTTTATTCTTTTACGACATTTTTGGTGATAATAATTACTTTTTTTATATCTTTAACTCTATAGATAAAATATATTTTTAATCTATATTAAAATACCGAAGTATATTTGATAAGTTAAAAGAGTTTATAAGCAATAAAGCCGTATATTTATTTTTAAAAAAATTTACATTTCATAAAGAGACTTAGGTTTCAATTCTTGAATAAAACTAATAGCTTTTTAACGCTCATGGTTCTCAATCAATCAATCGACAATTATTGTCATTCCATCGCTTAAAAAACCTCGTTTTACTCTCCGTTCCATGTGTCACAAGGCTATAATCTAAATAAATCTAATTCTATCATCATTATTTTCTGTATATTTCATACATTTTTTTTATTATAATTATAAAACCATCTCTCATATTTACTACGCCCTACAATGGCAGTCGCCGACCTCGTCACACAATAGTGTGACGTCACCTGGAGCCTTGTGAACTTAACGTACAATATTTTCGGTTTAAAATAAAATTTGCATATATTTTGTAATATCAGATATATTAAATAAATACCATTCTATGTTTGTTATTTTAGGTATACCAAAAATATTGAGAATTAAATATAAACATTGATTGATTTATAAAAAGAAATAGGAATTAATAATAAAGTGATCGAATAAATCTTGTTTAGACAGAAAATATCAATCATATTGTTACACTAATGGAGGCGTTTATGTCAGTTAATATGTTTTCAGAAGGCTAAATATCATTAATGTTTTGATTTATTACATATATATAAGGCGGCCAACTTTCCGAAAACTGAATGCGGGACTTAGTTAGTTAGGGATTGGGAATGTCATAAAAATCTTCGCAACTGCCCATATTAAATTTAAGTACTCTCTTAAGCGTCATGACTTCAGAAGAAAGAAAGAAAACGAGATTAGCGATTATCGCGGGCGCGATACGCTTGTCCTTATTATAGGTAATCTGTGTTCCTGTACTGTTGCCCGTGGTATGGGTGTTGTGTAGAAGTGTGGTAGAAAAATAGGGATGCGGGACGTATACAACGTTTTGCGGGACTATTTTACTAATAATTTCAAAGCGGGATTTGATCTAGAATTGCGGGACGGTCCCGCAGAATGCGGGACGGTTGGCCGCCTTACATATATATGAAAATAAGTAGTTTTTCTGTACTTTAAACAAATGAATCTTTCTATTTGTAGATCCTGTGCATCATAACTGTTTTCGTCATTCAAACTTATGGTGATGGAAGCGTTTTATCATCAGTATTAACACCAGAAACAGTTCGTAAAGAAAGAAGCTATGATAGATACAGCTATAGGCCCTACGATAGGGACGACCGACCCTCAAGATGCGGACGGTGTGATGATGATGATGATGATGATGATAGGAGTCGGGAAAGAGGTGATGATAGACGATCGAATAGACCTTCGTATAATAGAAATGATAATGATGATGATAAATATGACGGGGATAGAAGAGACTCGAATAAAACCAGCACTGACGATGATGATGGAAGGAAAAGACCACACGATGGAAAAGACAAGGATAGACACCATGGAAGACGGGATAAGAACAGAAATAGATATGACGACCGGGATAGATACAGGCCGGATTATTACGACAGGTTCTTGAGGGATCCTTACCGGGATAGATATGATAGGGATAGGTTTTATGACGATCCCTATCCCAGAAGACCGAGCTACGACAGATATGATGATTATGGGAGATACGATCCTTATTCTACTTCAGGGTATAGAAGACCATATTATGAGGATCAGTACGATAGAACTGGTGATATTTATGGAGGTTACGGGCCTGGAATCGGCAGGGGACCACATGAAAGGTGAGCTTATTCTACATTTTACATTTAATTTCTAAAGCTTAATATTTAAATGAAACTAATAATTTAGGACTACTACGCGTATTTTATTATGTTTAACGGGCATTAAGATGTTTGTCATATCACTCTAGTTGCGAAGTAACCGAAAAGTCGTTAGAATGTAGTTTTAAAAATAATAAAATCCACGTAAAAGTAATTTAGATATTCGGATTCATTTTTGTGTGACCTGTTATATAACTTGCGTATTAAACAGTTTTTATTTATTTTTATATATATTTACTTCATTTTCTATATAGATATATACAATTAAACAAATTTTCACGCTTAATATGTAGTAGATAACAATAGATAGTATTGGCCCATCAATTGTATGGATTAATTTTCATCGCTCTCACATTTCCATCATATGTTCAATAGCTAATTGTTTGAACCTAACGGCATCGCATCCTGTCACTGGAATTGAAATCTTTTAAATTATAGATTATTAAGAATGATTCCAGTTTTGGTCACAGACTGTGACCGTAGATGACCTCGCTAGTAATCATTATATTTCCATTAAAAAACTTTATTTGCTTTGTATTATATTTGTTTATGTTAAATGTTATGTATGTGTTATTCAAATGATTGCAATTCTTGTTGTAATTCTAGCCAATTATTCAATTTGTTCTCAGTTTTTGACATGTTAATTCCCCATTACGAGAATGCCATGCCGCGTTAATTTTAATTGCAATTCATTCTAGAGGCCTGTAGTTTTATGTTTACGTCTGTTTTATAATGTAATATTTAATAATGAATTGGATAAATAGGGTAAAAATGTCACAAATAATACATACTTATTGATAACATTTGTCTCTATTTATAAGTAAAAAAATTTTGTTGCCAAAAAAGAACTAAAAAATATAAATTAACTTTATAAATATTAAAATTAATGCTTAATAATGAAATATTATCGTCATGAAAATATAACATCTAACATGTAAAATATTAATATGTATAACAAATAAAATATCGATCACTAAGTATTTTGCTTTTAAGGCGCTTGAGCAACAATTAAGCAATAAGATTAGATAGGTATATCCGTCATTACTATGACGAATACAGTTGGGGCAATGTAAAGATATTTCTTTCTAAGATATAAAGTTATATTATAAATATACCCCTTTAGATTGACCCAATTCTATATTACAACTAGTTGATGCCCGAGACTTCGTCCGCATTGCATGATAATGTAACAAAGTTTTGTTAGAGCTACAAAAACACATCGCTTAAGCTTAGTTAGTAAAACATTATTATTTTATATTGAAAGAAGACATTGCAATATTTTTTATATCAGGTTCAAGTGTCTTAGAAATATTACTTCGAAAATTTACAGATTTCAGCCTATTTATTTGGATATAAAATTATTAATTATGTATATATGTATGTTTTATTTTAGTTTCAGACCATGGGATGAAACTTATCGCGGTCAGGCGGGTTGGGACGCCGGAGGTCGAGGGTATTACTTCGCTTCAGGAAGACCTGACTCCACTTGGGGACAGAGAGAATATTCTAGGTATATACTTTAAAGGTTTTAATACTATGATGTCTGTATAGAGAGTTGATGTTTCAGCAATGTTCTCTCATAGTAGAAACTCAAGTGATCTACATAAAAGAAAAACTAAAAGGGGTACAATATATAGAAATCTTATTTTTGATATTTAATTTCCAGGCCACAAACTGGAGGATATCAGAACGGTTACTCATCAGGATATAATGGATACGCTCAACAAGGACAAGGGTATCGTGGAGCAGGGATTGGATATGGATCTGGGGGTGGATATGGGTCAGCTGGTGGTTACGGGACGGGAGGTGGTTACGGATCGGCGAGCGGATACGGATCCGGATTGGGATACGGATCGGGATATGCGGATGGTTACCAGGACTTCAGTTACGGTCAGACCAGCGGCTGGAGGAATGTGGGAGAACGAAGACCTTACAGGGACCAGAGGTAAAAGATATTAATTAAATAATATTAAGAAAACTGTTGAAATATAGAAAAGGTAAAGGTGAAAAAATTACAAATAATGAACTAGTAACACATGTTCTATTGAAAAAAATATATAGGTTTAACTGAATATTCATTTGTTATAAGTTCAAAGATATTGCGCCAACCACGACAATTAAAAGTAGTCTAAATAGAGTATATATGTGGATCTTGCCAACAACTTGAAATATATTGGTTATATTACGACGATGAAAATACTCTAAAAAGAACGAAAGAGAATATGGCTAACTAAGCTATGTTTAAATAGGAATTAAAGGCCATTAATGTGGTTTGTCAAAACTGAACTTCAAATCCCTCAGATTAAAAGGTTTTTCAGTCAATATGTTTACAGGAGCAGAAGCTGCTAAAGAGTTGTTTAAGCAACTGCTATTATATAATCTGTAAGGAAATTACTTTCACCTTAAGAATTTGTGGCTAACGATTCATTGTCTAAGCTTTTGGTGTGGATTCAGGAGTTCAAAATAATTTATGTTATAACATATATGTGTTAAAAATGCTTAGCAAATATTCAATTAAAATTAAAATACAATGGATACTAATATTTCGATAGGGATTATAAATGTGTTAAAAAAAGATCTGATACCGCTTCTCTAACTTAACGAATGCTAAAAATTCGTTTTTTTCAACTAACACATGTACTTACTACCAATCAAAATAACTTATATGTAAAACATGAATTGTCAATAATGTATCCTAAAAACAAAATTTCTTTCAGCGGAGTGGCGTCAACTATAACCAGGATAACACAAGACAACCAATATGGAACGAACCGTCAACCAGGACAAAATCAGCAGACTTACAAACCGGCAACCCACGGACAAAGTACAACACTAGCAACCAGCTATTTATATCAGCGAAATGACGGAGAAGTCAAAAGTGACACTACCGTGGCGCCATCTTAATTTTATTTTATAATATAAGGACATTTGCTCTTTAGATTAATTAGAAATTATTTAACTTTGGGTTTATTCATAAGAAAGACCGATGGCTCTGTCACCTTTTATTTTTGTATGCGGTTGTCAATGTATTTTGTATGTAGGAATATTTAAAATAAAAACAAAGTTAAATCCGTCTAAAATGTGAATTGGGTTGTTTTACTCCTGATTCATAATTGTGTTGTGATAAATCTACATTGTGTGACTCGTTTTATGCTTTGTTCAAAATTTTTTGTGAATAAAAATTTACGACATGGATGTTTTTTGATCTTTAATAACATTCTTCGGCCACCCAAAAATAATATAGTTTTTACAAAATTCTTATTGCTTCTATTTAACCTGTTTTAAGATTAATCAAAATCTTAAAACTTTGTGTCATTTAATAATAAAAAAACTACAAATATAGTGTAGAAATGTAGCATAAAAAATTGGGAGAAATTTTAATTAGTCAAAACGCCCTCTATGAATATCCTTACAAAATTTGATATATTAGATTACATAATTCTACAAATTTATCATAGATGGCGTAACATGTTTGGACTTATGCATATTTAACATATTATTACATACTAGCTTTCCGCCCGCAGCTTCGCCGCGTGGAGTTCGGTTATATCGCGTTTCCAAGAGAACCTTTCAGAAGTCTGGGATAAAAACTATCCTATGTTCTTTCTCAAGGTCAACTCTATCTCTGTACCGAATTTCATTAAAATCAGTTCAGTGGTTTAGGCGTGAAAGCGTAGCAGACAGACAGACAGACAGACAGACAGAGTTACTTTCGCATTTATAATATTAGTAGGGATTTGCCTCATATTGAGCAATAGCTTATTTTATTAAATAGTTTACGAACACAACAGCATATTTTTATGCTCTTATTTATTCAATGCAATCAATTCTATATTAATTAAGGGAAATAAGTTTTTTTTAATGTAAAGTCCACAAAAGCGCCGAAGGCTCCTCTTTTGTAAGTAGCTAAGATTCACTAGAGTACGGTAACGGCTTTTGAGTGACGATTCTTTCAATTGAATGAAATGCAGCATAATAATAATTAATAATTTTTCTTATAGCAAGAAATGCAAAAGAAATGTAATATAAATACACATATCTATCATACGACAAAACTTAGATGCTTAAACTAGTCTCTGCCAAGTATTTTCTTTATTAATGTGATTTATTTGTCATTTTATAATAATCTTTATGCAAAAATATTATTTTGACCGTACTATAACAGTTTGCTGTCAAATTAATTAGCAATTAATATATTTACTACAGATATTAAATATTGAAACACTCGTCTACGTGTAATCAATAGATTTATTAACCGATATCTTTGAAGAAGGTGAATTATTTTAATATGGCACACAATTAACTATAGATATGATAAAAAATATATCGATTAAACGGAATTATATCACTCTCGGTTCGATATCCCCGCGGGTTGAACGAAAACTTAGGGTAATTTTTTTATTATAATATATTTTATCTGTATTTCCTTAATAATCATTTGATTATAATATACAACCTCTTTCGTCTTAGGGATAAGGGAATACAGATTAAAAATACGTGTAGTGCAATATGACGGAGCAAGATTCAGCGAAAGTTGGAGAGGAAAGCCCGGCTGTGTCAGGAGTATTAATAACCAATGGACCTGGAAATGCATCAAATCTGTCTCCTGATAAGCCGTGAGTACTATATCATATATGTACAGGATATAAATTGATGACGTCATCAAATCGTACATGGCCTTCTCGGGAAAACCTCAGCTTGGTTTTAAAAAAAGTATTTTCAGTGCCTTTATAATAATTAATTCTATGCTTAACTTTATAAAGAGTACATATTTATTCTTATTAAGTAATTTGAACTATGGATAAAATGTTACTATATAAAAAAAAATGCATGCATAATTTGACTATTGATTTTTAGAAAAAATTTGGATTTATTACTTTTTTTTACAAATTAATGATAATATTGTATATTTTTAAAGTTCCAAGCCTAATTTTAGCTCTAACAAAGGGTAGTTTAATAGTAATTGCAACACTGATTTACCCAAAACCTTGAACACCCATCGAAAGCATGATATCATATATATGTACATAAATTTAATATTTTATAATAATGTAACTGTTACAAATCAATTAGTGATAAGAACCATTATCTATAATAAAGTAATCGTCGGTATATAATGTACGTACATACTAATCAGTCTATGTTTACTTGTAAGTTGTAAAGCTTTTAACAATCAAGATAAACAATTAATTATTTTATTGAAACTATTTCTATGTATTGACTATGTTTGATTTTAAATAATGTACCTATTATAATCAGTGGCGGCTGTACCTTAAGTGCGCCCGTGCGCTGAACCACCAATTCAAAATATTTAAAAATTACAAAATATTATGTCATCTTAATTTTTAAATTACCATTTTAATATTTATTTTTTAAACATACAAAAAGGTATAAAAAATTTAATTTCCAATTATGGTCAAAAAGTTTGAGCGCTTTACTAAACTAATATCTCGTGCGCTCCGGCGAGTGCACGAGGACTGCTAATACATCTTGTATGAGACACGCATCAATACGCCTGGCGCGTGAGACAAAAGATAGTTCATAGAAATGCACCGAGTAACGAGTCGGTTCTCGCGCGCCGCACGAAGCGGCCGAAGGTTACCGAGAGCACCCGATGTATGACGTATTGAGCCGGCCGGCAAGGGGCCGGCCGAAAGGATGGGTGCTATGATTGACATTTCGTTAATCGTTATTGGTATTGTTTCAACTTTCACTGTATGCGTGACGCGTTAATTCGTTATTGTTTATAATTATTTCCGTAATTCGTTTTAGTTTTTATTTCGTTTCTATAATAGAACTTTTATTCTGTACTGTGTTTTTTATTAGTTGAAAATGAGTATAAATATTGATTATATTAAAGAAAATAACAAAATTTTTCAAAGTAAAGTGAACATAAAATTGGCCGGGCCGCCACGGCCCTTTTTAAATTTAAAACAAGAGTGTAAATCGAAAAATAAAGCATTTATACGAAGTTTTAAAAGTGAAATGTATAATAGAAAGAAATGGTTGTGTGGATGTGAGCGTCTTAATGCATTCTTTTGTTTTCCTTGCATTATTTTTGGCGGAGAATCGATTTGGACAGAAACTGGGATCAGATTTTATGTACAAAAAATAAACATATTTTATGTCAATTGTTGTTTTTGTCAATATTTTAGTAAAGTGAACCACCAGTTCGATAACCCACCAGCCGCCACTGATTATAATGTTAAATTTCTACAAGATTTTCGAACGTAAAAATGATGAAGTTTCACTGTCTTGTTAGATGTGTGGCTGAAATATATAAAATTGTATTCTAAATTGGTAAAATCTGTACATGATTTAACCTGTATGAAACTAATATTTCAAGCAAAATATTAGTTTAATTTAAATGACTCGCGAAAATCTCAGATCTCATGATTGAACCTTTTCAGTTTACTCCGAAGATATCCCGGACGTCAGCTTGCACGAGATTCGAATGGCTCTCAAACAGCTTAAAAACAACAGGGCACCGGGTGATGATGGAATAACGGCCGAGCTACTGAAGGCGGGTGGAGAACCGATCCTTAGGGCCCTTCAGAAACTGTTTAATTCCGTCATACTCGAAGGACAAACGCCACAAGCGTGGCACAGAAGTGTGGTGGTATTGTTTTTCAAAAAGGGTGATAACACCCTGCTGAAAAACTACAGACCCATCTCACTTCTGAGTCATATCTACAAGCTGTTTTCGAGAGTCCTAACGAATCGCCTTGCACGCAGGTTAGACGACTTCCAGCCTCCCGAACAAGCCGGTTTCCGAAAAGGCTTTAGTGTAGTAGACCACATACATACGCTGCGGCAGGTTATACAGAAGACCGAGGAGTATAATCTACCTCTTTGCTTGGCGTTTGTGGACTATGAAAAAGCCTTTGATTCGATCGAGACCTGGGCTGTACTGCAGTCTCTCCAGCGGTGCCAAGTAGACTACCGGTATATTGAAGCGCTGAAGGGTTTGTACGAAAACGCCACCATGTCAGTCCGATTACAGGATCAGACCTCGAAACCAATACCTCTGCAGCGTGGTGTCAGACAAGGGGATGTTATCTCCCCAAAACTGTTCACCGCTGCATTGGAGGACGTCTTCAAGGTTCTGGACTGGAAAGGACTTGGCATCAACATAAATGGCGAGTACTTATCACACCTTCGGTTTGCTGATGATATCGTAGTCATGGCTGAGACCGTGAAGGACCTGAGTACAATGCTCGATGATCTCAATAGAGCCTCCGAACGAGTTGGTCTTAAGATGAACATGGAGAAGACGAAAATTATGTCTAATGTCCATGTTGTACCGACTCCTATTAAGATCGGAGGCTCTACGCTCGAAGTTGTTGACAGCTACGTATACCTGGGACAAACGGTCCAGTTAGGTAAGTCCAACTTCGAGAAAGAGGTCAATCGTCGAATCCAACTCGGCTGGGCTGCGTTCGGGAAGCTACGTAGAATCTTCTCGTCCAGAATACCGCAGTGTCTCAAGACAAAAGTCTTCGACCAGTGTGTGTTGCCAGTGCTAACATACGGCACTGAGACGTGGCCGCTCACGATGGGCCTTATTAGAAAGCTCAAGGTCACTCAAAGGGCAATGGAGAGGGCTATGCTCGGAGTTTCACTGCGTGATCAAATCAGGAATGAGGAGATCCGCAGAAGAACGGGAGTCACCGACATAGCCCGAAGAATTGCAGTACTCAGTTTAGTAGTATTTAAAAGTAAATATTATTTAGTTTTACTTCTTCGAACGTTATGTTATAGATATATAAAAGTGAATTATAAAAAAATTACAATAATAACATCCGATTATGCAATATATGTACAGGGTGACTGGTGAATTACTATCAATATTTAAGGAGCATACTCGGTACATCATTCTCATTCGAATTATGTAAAAAAAAAAG